TGACCGAGGAGTTCGTGAGGGGGAGGCGGCAGTACAGCGGCGCGAGTATTTTAAAGTAAGCCTTTTCCTCGCCGCGAAATTTGTTCTGCTGCGTTTCTTTTGGGTGCCACACCGCCCCCTTTCGAATAATATATATATGTAGATATATATATATATGCTGCACCGCTCTTATATTCGATCTATTAGGCGCCTTTCTCCATGGGCCGTCTCGTAAAAAACGCTTGCGTTGAACTCCTTCTTCCAGTGTACCCCTCTGTGGCGTTGGAAGTCTTGTGCTTCCTTCTCCGTTTCGCTGGAGAGCATTCACCTCGAGCCTCAGTCTGGCGTCTGCTGTACAGTACAATCGATGCGTTCTTGTGTGGAGCTTACTGACTCCGAGATGTGGCTCTTGAGCTTTGCCTTGAGCGCCTGTCTGTCCAGCCTTTCGCCAGCCAGGCACACTTACTCGCAGCTTCGCGGGAGTTGCAGCTGCCTGCATGCTCTCGCACTCCATACACCTGCGCCTCCGCGAAAAAGCTACAAGCATTGTGATCCAGCATCGGCAGTCCACAGCACACACTCTGGCGACAAAGCTGCTTGTCTTACTGCTGCTGCCGTTTGCAGGCCAGGACCTGCTGCGCACGACTTTCTCTGTGAAAGCCGTCCACTTGTGCTCCGCATTTGCTTGCAAGATAAAGTCTCAAGTACACCAACACGATCAGCACCAGCCGCAACAGCAGCAAAAGCACCAGCCGCAACAGCAGCAAAAGCACCAGCCGCAACAGCAGCAAAAGCACCAGTCGCAACAGCAGCAAAAGCACCCACACCGACAAAAAGAGCTTCCACCTCCTCAACAACGAAGCAAAGCGCTGAAGCATGTGCTGCTGTCTTTTCTCGACCCCTAGCAGCAACGGCAGCAGCAGGGATGACGACAGAGGAGCGACCATCCAAATGGAAGCAGAAAGCCCTTCTGTTCGCTCCTCTGCCGCTTCCTGCGTCTCTGCACCCTACACCTTTGCTCGAAAGGCGCCTGCCCCCCTCTGTGGGAGGCTCTGTAGATGCAGTTAAGAAGCCGCGACTGGCTAGTGCTGCTGATGCTGCTGCTGCTGCTGTTGCCAGGCTGCTTCCAGAACGGTGCAATGAGGTGCACTCTGGCAGCCTGCCACCCCCTTCCAGTGCTCCTGATACGACGAATCCCTCGGGGTGCCCTCCAAGTGAGGAGAGAGAGACACGCCGAAGTGCGTGGGCAGATGCACGAGCAGCAGGACTGCTGCTGCGCAGTGCCGCTGTGGCTGCTGAGACTGCTGTTGATGGCTCTTCGACTAGGGTAGGCGTGCCAGAAGGGAGGCGGATACACCCACCGGCAAAGGCTCCCATTCCAGCTCCGGTTTTTTATGATTTCGCGTCTCAAGAGTCCCCCCACGAAGAGACTCCCCAGGACGCCCCTAGAGCGTCTGTTGGAGGAGCGGCAGACGCCGCATCAGCCACTCCGCCTGATCAGCCCCTCCTTCGCAAGCCAGCATTGGGTACTATTGGGAGTGCAGAAGTGTGTCTTCCTGGAATCTCCGGGAGCCCCTGCAAAAGCGCTGATGCCCCAGAGACGCCTACCCTGGCTATTCCTCGGGATTCTGAAGCTTGCAAGCGCCGGCTTGCAGCGCTGCGGCGCAACGGCGTTCGTGGAGCCCTTCCCTCTTTATGGCGATCGTCAGATGGCTCAAACTAGCGCATATACATACATATATATATATGTCGGCGTATTAATGTGTGTTCGCATACATCTAGCAGGGCAACATGTACGTGTCCCGCCTCTTAGCTGCTAGTTGGGATACAAGCGCATGCATTCGATCTTTCGCCAGTGAGGCTCTATGCCTGAGACTTGTGAGAGCACGCCAACGCTACCACTGGGCCTTGAAACTTGCAGCAGCCTATTCGGGGAAGCCTACAAGTGAGGGCATGTACATGGGGGGGAGTAGAGCGCTCTAAAGTACACCTGATTCAGAAGCAGAAAAGGCAGTCTTTCCTGCGCGGGAAAATAGCGCGTAGACGACATCTCCCTGCAGACCTTCAGGCAGCACTCATCGTTTTGGCTGTGAAGGCGAGGAGGAGAGCGCTTGCGTCCACCTGAACAGAAGGGCCCCCCCCCATGCGGGGAACCCTCGGTTATAAGTCAAGGGACGTGAGCCTACTGAGCTCGCAGTATCCATCCCCTCAGTTGCGGTAGCAGGGAAGACCACAGGCTTGAATGTAGGCGCCTTCAGCCTTTTAGCGCCTCTTGGAGATCTAAGGTAGCATCGAAATTCCTTTAAAAACTGAGGCCCCCACAAACCCCGTGCATCCGCAGTACACAATGCACGATGGCACACGCAGCCTCACACATGAAAAACGAGAAAGACACTCGTCAGGAGTCTCTTCTGATGGGAGAGATCTTTATTATTATCTCAATAGGAAGCGACCTTGCCTCTGGAGGGGCCTCTTTGAGCAAAAGAGTAAAACTTAACAACCCAGCCAGCTGCAGTCACCTGAGCTTTGCGCATCCATCTGGTACTGAGTAGGAGCCGGTAAGCCTAATCCAGGTATAGCTCGCTGCCGATGCAGTTTGCTAGAGGCTTTTGTCCTGCTACTCCGGCAATGGCAGCAAAAGGATCCCTAACAGGTGCGACTCTAAGAGCATGCAACAACGCTACAACGCTAGTGAACGTAGGCGGCAAGAGCTCTCCGCCTCTTATGAAGGCGTCAAGATCTTCGAAAGAAGGCCTAGGACTGTAGCGGAAGAAACACTAGTGGGGACTGCAATATTAGCCTTTGTAGCTTTCGAAGACGGATTTCATCACTCTCTACTACATCTCTGGTATTTGCTTGAGCTTTTGGACATGTAGGATAACCGTTTGCGCGGCCGATTGCGAACTTGGGGGGTTCAACAAAAAGAATTAGCTCAGTGAGATACGAAACGGTGCTGCTTTGCCGTGCATTAGATGTTATATGCTCTTAGATGTGAAAACTCGAAAAGCTTAGAGAGTGCAGTAACGCGCATATGTGCTTTCCTCCTTTCCTCATGCCAAAACCGTAGGAGCAACGACGGAAAGAGGAATCTCTTGTGAAAGCATACTTAGAAGCCTTCTATTACATTTCGAATTGGGTGGTGCGGTACATATTTCGGCTGACTTCCAGCTGTATCTTTTGCTGGGGACTAGATCTAAGGTCGGAAAACGTAGATCGTCCTGATCTCTACCGTGGTGTTCTAGTCTCGAAGCCGGAACCATTTTGCTGCCGACCTAGTGGCTGCTCTATGCCAACTCCTAGCCAATGTAAAACAATCTATCTAAGGCCTCCTTAGGTGAACGCCTTATTTAAGACTCAGTACAAATATAATCAAAGGTACTGAGTGCTTTCCACAAGAGATAGTCCTGCCCTACCCCCCGGCATTCCTCAATGGGGGCAATGAACAACTAGGATGTGCTTAGCTGCGCCCGCTAAGCACTCCGAGCATCCATAGCTAGTGTCACATAGCATCTAGCGCACACGCTCACAACAGTGGGCGTTTAGTATTGAGCTAGCAGTTCTCTGCAATGAAATTGAGTATACGAACAGACAAACAACTAGTCAGTCGTTTTCAAACTCTTAGTTTTGTGTAACGCGGGTACTGGAAAGTATCTGAAGCTAATTTTGCCTGTTACAAACTTGGGGGTCCCCAGCAGCGTGGAGTGTAGCTAGCCAGCAGAAGAAAGCATGGCCATTTACATGAGGGGAATGGGGTTATCTTAGTTGCTAAATATGTCCCTAGCAGGTCTGAGTCTGTCATGCCTTAGTACTGAATCTCTGTTACCCCCTAGTGTGCACCGCCTCTAAATTGGTTGCTTGTTTGCGTTGCACTGCTCTTTTGCTGTGGCTGTGGTGATTCTTGAAGCAGCTCATAATACACTTATCCTACACATATTCGGTGTTGTTGCGGCTCTTGAAACATGATCTGTCTACTATTTGCGTTAGCTGTACGCGTTGAGACACCTCCCATTTAACCAGTCAGCAGGCAGTCTCAAGCCGAGTGCTCAAGCAGTGCGCTGGGCTCATGCTGCGTGCATCTTGCCCAATAATGGAGGACCAACACGCGATGAGGGGGAATATGTGGCTCACAGATACCGCTAAACCTGCTAGGAGAGGATCTGAGCCGAGAGGGAACGAATGCTACAAAGATGAATTGGGGGCAATGCCTCGGGGAACCCTGTGAAGTATGAAGGGGGCAGACAGATTTTAAGTGAGAGAGAGCCCTCTATATGTGACTTAAGTGAAAGAAACTAAAATTTTCGGGGGAGAAAATCGAAGGATGTAGGCTGGTGCTGTAGCGGCTGCATAGTCCCAGGCTGCAGCGCTTGGATTTGGGGGCCTTCTGCTGAGCCGGTGGTACTGCACCCACCGTCCTCCTTAAGGGCTTCTCTGGCAGCGTCTGCTGCCTCTGCTGCATCCAGGCAAGGGAGAAAGTCAAAATACATTTCTTTCACCGATTATTTGCATCTTATTACAGTCTTGAAGGCTCGTACAGCCCGTGGCGCCCCCGGGGCGGAGGCTGCTGGTGTATTCGGGTCTGTTGTCTGCTGCACTCTGCTGTATTGTGCTTTTCTATGTTCTCGCAAAGTAAATTCTTGGAATTATCATTGTCATTGCATCTATTATTTGGTTGTGGATACACCCAGGGGACTCTGCGCGAAACGCGCCTTCCTTCCTCCGTTCCTTCCCTGTGGCTGTGCCGACCCGCCAGGAGGAAATTCCCTACGGCCTAAGGCTTTGCGTCCTCCCCTGGCCTTCTTCTTAGGCCCCTGAATATTAATTATCCGTCTGTGTGTAGTCTGCTGGAAGACTGGGCTGTTGGCGCCCTATTTTGGGAGCACCTGCAGTGCCTCGTCTGAGAAGAGCATCTCATTTCGAGAATTACCCGGTTGTCGTGTGGCCGTATGTACACGTGCAGAGGCTTGCGCAGTCGTAGCGTCTAGATCCTGGTCCTGCGCTGTCTGTTCTCCTGGGGAGAGAAGATGGTGGAAAGTTGCCACGCCTACCACGGGCAGATAAAAGACGGCCTCTTCCACGGCCATGGTACTTTGTTGTACTCTGGCAATGAGAAGTACGAGGGCGACTTTGTTTTCGGAAAGCGGGAGGGAAATGGGCGTTTCGAGTATGCGGATGGCGCTACGTATGAGGGAAAGTGGGTCGAGGACAGGATTCACGGGCAGGGAGTCGCCGTCTTCGCGAGCGGCAATGTGTATGAGGGGCAGTGGGATATGGGAAAGATTTCTGGATACGGCAAGTTGAAATACTCCAATGGAGATGAATACGAGGGCGAGTGGGTGGACGGAAAGATGCACGGGCGAGGAACGTACCGCTACAAGGAGGGCGACGTATACACCGGAGAATGGCGAGATGACAAGAGACACGGGAAGGGGGTTGTTGTATACGTTGGTGCCAAGGGGGCTATAGTGGAGAAGTACGATGGCGATTGGGTGAATGGGAAGATGCATGGCCACGGAAAGTACACGTACAGCGATGGCGGGGAGTACGAGGGCGACTGGATGGACGGCAAGATGCACGGGAAAGGCAAGTACATCTTTCCTAATGGCAACCAGTACGACGGCGAGTGGGCGAATGACATGAAGGAGGGGTATGGGACGCTTATGTATCACAACGGGGAGAAGTATGAGGGTTACTGGAAGGCCGACAGGGTGCACGGCAAGGGAACGCTCACATACTCCCGAGGCGACAAATACGTAGGTGAATGGGTAGATGCGAAGAAACACGGCGAAGGAGAACTCATTTACTCGAACGGCGACAGATTCAAGGGGGAGTGGCTGGATGACAGAGCCTGCGGCTTTGGGGTGTTTCAGTACGCCAACGGCAACAAGTACGAGGGGCAATGGGCAGACGACAAGAGGGAGGGGCATGGAATCTTCTACTGCGCGGAGGACGGCAGCTGCTACGAGGGGGAATTCGTGCAAGGCAGGAAGGAAGGCAACGGCACTTTCCGCCTGGCTGCTGGTCATCAGCTCGATGGTGTGTGGGCGGGGGGACAGCTCGTTCGCGTAACCTCCTTCATGTTCTCCCCTGACTCGCGCTGGCTTAATCCCGACCTGTGAGAGCTTGCCAAGTGTCGAACTGTCCATCTTGTTTTTTCTGGCAAGTTTACAGAGGGATTTCCACGGAGGGGGAGGGGGGAGGGAGAGGGAAGGGGTGGGGTGGGAAGCTACGACCACGGGGGTCGTGTTTCCCTCTCTCTCTCTCCTTCCCTGCCTGCTTGCCTGCTGCCTGCTGCCTGCCTGCCTGCTGCCTGCCTGCCTGCTTGCTGCTTGCTGCCTCCCTCCCTTTCTCTCAAGCTGCGCGGGCAAGGGATGGCCTCGGTATCGGTTGCCTCAGGGGGCCCCTATCTGCACTGCGTCGGAGAGAGAGGGGTAGCCACACAAGGATGGTCGTTGTTGAAACGCTGGTAGTGGTGGTGGTGGGTCTGGCTGCCTCCCCTGCTGAGTAGTGGGTCAAATGCCAGTAGCTGGGGCACGAGACGGTGCATGCGCCTAGTTCTATGGCGCCTTCTCTCCCCTCGCCTCTTCGTCGATGCCTTCGAAGCAGAAACGCTGCCACACAAACACGAGCACGCACACACGCACTTCTGCACGCATGCAGACTCCACTGGTGCAAAGTCTTCATCCCTGGCAGTGCCTCATCTCGTTCATTGCAAGGCTCTAGCGTCGGTGGCTCCCTGCTTCAGGAAGCCCTGGCGCGAGGGGGTGAAGGCGGGAGTGCGAGGTGTTAGGGGGGGGTGGTCCCCCCCTAACAGTGTTGGGATCCCGCCCAGGAGGGGAGTACAACTCTTGCCTTGAGCTCTCCTGAGGCTGGGTAGGCCTCGCGTGCCGTTGGCGTTGAAATTGCCAAGAAAGGCTAGAGGCGTTTTTTCGGTTTTGTTACCTTGTCTCCTATATCCGATCTTGTTCATTCCTCTGTCTCCCATTCACCCCCGCAGGCAGAGTGCCGCGTGGCTGGCTAGCTGTTAAGAAGAGAACATGCGAGGGAGATTGAAAATGTGATCGCCCGTAAGGCCCTCCTAAGTCCCTGCTATGTAGATGCGTTCCTTCCGTGCACTCTGTAGCAGGGGGAGGACAGGCCCTGTCTCAGAGAAGCCTTTGGCAGGCCCTATTAGAGGCACAGCCAGCTGAGCGCAGCTCATCCCAGAAAGAAAAGAATAAAGGAAGGATGAGGGGTTTTGTTAGGTACGCCTTAATGGAGGTGCAACGCGAAGCAAAGCTGGCGCAAAGCTAAAAATCCAACCCCAAAGTCTTGCCTCTTGTTCGACTGCCTCAGTGATTCCTTCCCTGTTAAGACCTCGGAACCCACAGATGTGTCGAATTGTTAGAAGGTTCTGCAGAGGCAGCGCTCTGCAAGGACGCAAGTGTCTTTTCGCAAGTTCTCTGCATTCCCATCAAAGCGGGCAAGTCCTTAAGGGAGGGGGGTAGGCCTTTTCACAACAAATGGCGGTCTTCTTCGGAAGGAACCATGACACCGCAAAACGCGTCATGGAGGGCTGGGAGGAGGATCGATTCCTGTTTTGTTAGCGACTTTCCACTGCTCCACTTAAATCTGGTTAAGAATTGGGGACAAAATAATTAATTTGGCTGTCTGGGTATCTTATTGACTGCTGAATATCGTAAGCTCTATAAAATATGGCGCACTAGCGTGTGTATACGTGTGCGCAAGATGGTATTTTGTGAAACTAGCTGTGGATGGTCGGAGTGCTTAGAAAGCACACCTAAGCGCGTGCCTTAGGTGTGGCCCTCTTCCATATATGGAAGCCATAAGGGGCGCATGCAGGAGGAGGAGGGAGCGCCGTTGAAAACCAATGGATAATTCTCCATTGAGTTTGTATGGAGTGGAGTCCAAAATGTGTTCTCCTACGGAAGACTAGAATCGAATGCTTCTCCCAGTCTCTCTCTTTGTCTCTCTCTCTCTCTCGCTTAATAAAAGTGGCTTCTTGGCAGTTTCTTCTTGCCAGTGTGAGCTCTCCTACGCCTCACTGTCCCCCACTGAGTCGCATGACGTTCTACGAAGGAATTCTCGCACTGCTACTGTAAGCATGGCCCCACATTGAGCTGGTGGCTCTGAGAGAAGAGACACTACTGCGCTTTCCATCCCCCAAAGAAGTTCGTGCTTTCTACAGAGGTGTGCGTGCAATGCCCACAAGCTCCCCCGTGACATCCAATTAAAGATGATCCTGAAAGGGGCAGTCCTGCAGGCAGACGAAAGGGCCAAACACAGCGCCGGAAGGAAGGGCCAAAGGTATCTGCGGAGAGGACTCGATGGAAAAAGAGGGCTAGTTTTCCTTAGCGCATCAAATGGGCGTTGAGGGGGCCCTGATGAAGCAAAGAATGGAAAGAGCTCAGTTGCATTAGGGACTAGTTGCGAAGGGGCACTGAAGCCTCCACGCAGATCTCCACTTCAGGAAGGGAGGGAGGGAAACATTTTTCGGCCTAAGAAGAGGGCTACCGAAAGGCACGAACACACACGCATGGGCAGCAGCTGCAGCAAAACATGCACTATATGTAACCAAAATCCTCCGAATGGGGGCCTCTGTCCACTAAAAACGTGCAAACACGGGGTAACTCAGGTAGGGAATAAGCCAAGTGATGCAGGCACAAATCCTTTCGCAGCACGCCTGTTCCAGCTAGTGCGTGCGTAGGCATCGTTAGGAGACGCCACATTCACACTGATGTGGGGTTGCAGCAGCAGACTGAAACAGAGGGAAGATGCATGGGCTGGCAGGAGAAGGCAATGGCTGCACTGGAAGGGCGCCGCAGCACAGAAAAATTCAATGCGCACGTAAAGCGCAGAGCAAACTGGAAGAAAGGACACCCATTTGGCGTACAAGGCTGGACAATTTTCAAGTGCTCATACACTTGTATTCATGAGGCAGCGCATACTGTTGCGGCGCGAGCCTGAAAATGCCTCAAGCGCCTCTATATAATCCCGCAACGGTATTACGCGAAAGGCCAACGTTTTCTGTGGAAGAAGACTCTGAAGCTGAGAAGCAGAATTCAATGGATCTCTGCTTTTTACGACATCACAGACAGGGCGTTTAGCGTGCAAACTGTCTAGGGGCAAGTCACACTGTGACAGCCTCCAGTGCATGATTTCCACGCTTTATCGATGAATTTCGTTGTTCCTGCGTTTTCTTCGGAGCACTGTAGGGCTGGCTGGCTGGCTACATACGCTTGAAGAAGTGCTGTGTGCTTGAGCGCACATTCGCTGAGTGCGAATGCTCGGAGTGCCTTGCTGGTGCGCAAACGCGCAGCCCAATCCTGCTCTTTACCAAAGTGCTGGAAGTCCGTGGGGCAAGGCTCATGGGGTCGGGAAACTCCTTAAGGAAGCATTTTTACTTTCCAATAGCCTATGGAAGAATTTGGAGGCTAAGGATCTCCCGCTTTTTGCTGACCTCAAACGAGCACTTCAGCAATTAATGTGTTGGCCACACGGATTCCGTTGGGCAATTGGCTAACGCGCGATGTGCATAAGGCACAGTGAGAGGAAAAGAGGCCACCTACAGCTAGCCGCAGCGTCGCTCAAGTGTGTTGTGTGCATGCTAGCACTTGCTGCATCTCCTAGAGACCAAGCGTGCTGTGCTCAGCCTCAGTCTGAGGACTAGAAGCGTATGTATAGGTCTGTGAATCGCAAGGGGGTTCACGGCACTCTGCAAGTCATTGAGATTTCCGAGAAAGCAGGCGCGCGTTAACAGAGCCTACCACGGCATTCGGGCAAACAAGACGCATGAGACATGGGCTTCATGCAAGAGCACCTGGTATCTGCCTCATACCAAGAAACATTGGGAGGTATACGCGCTCAAGGAGAGGCCGCACAAACTGTAGTAGAAGCACCCGCCTTGGGGGCAGCGACACCAGCAGGGGAACGAATCACAGTGGCAGCAACAGTAGTCTGACCAGTGTAGCCGGTCCTGTAGTCCAATGCTCCCATATATATATATACATATATGTTGTGTATGACTCTGCGCAGTACAGTGCATACGGGGCAGTTCTTAGGATTGGAGAAAGAGAGCGTTTTCTTTGCCTTGGATGCAGCGATCCCTAAGGAATAGCTTAAAAATCTCTTGTTCGTGTTGTATCTTCCGCTGGTTTGCAGCGAGTGATCGCATGCACGGAAGCCGAAACGATCACCACCAACCCCACCGTATGCCGTCCTCGCTGCCCGGGCACCATGAAGCGTCCTACAAACCTTTGTTTTGTGTGCACCATGCTAGCTCATGTGTCTTCCTGCTTCCTTCTCCCTCATTAGATCTCCCCTTTGTCTCTCCTTCGCTCCATTCTGCTGCTGCAACGAACCCCAGACACCCCTCGTCGCTGTCCGAGGGGCCTCCTCGGGGGGCCCCCCGACGCGCATAGCAAGAAGTCGCGTCAAAAAGGCCAAAGGACCGATGCAGCGGCTGAGTCTAAGGCGGCAAAATACACACAGAAGCAGCATGGGCAAGCAGAACAACACCAGCAACCACTGCACTGCACGGCAACAGACTGTGCCTGGCGGTACATCCCTTCCCGCGTACAAGTGCGTAGAGCGGCAACGAAGGAAGGTCATACCGCCACTGTAGACTCTCTGGTGCTCTCATAATTCTAAATTCTTCTGCACAGGGTCGGCGCGAAATTCGATCAGAAGCGGCAGCAGCGAGGCAGCGGGATAGTGCCCGCTGCCGTAGGAACGCTCTGATCGAATTTTGGCGAAAGAAGAATCAGCGGCAGAAAAACACGGCTCTGCAGCAGCGCCTGAAGCAACGACAGCCACAGGAATGGCAGAGAAAGGCAATGAAAACCACCCACCCCACCTCCCCGCCGTGGATCCGATAGCGTCCACGAACAGGCCCCTATCGGCGACTGCAGGGGGCCCCCTCTCGGCTGCATCAAAAATGCAGCCAATCGACCTCAAAGAAGAAGCAGAAGCACAAGCGAGTGAGTCTCAGGAGGCAGCAGCAGCGGCTACCCCAGCAGCAACATCAGTAAGGGCCCTACAGCAACGAGCTCTCCACCAATTCTTCCCTTTGTGCCCCCCACCCCCCACCCCCCATAAGAGCAGCAGGACGCATGCAAAGCAGCAACAGCAGCAATTGAAACAACAGCAGCAATTGCAACAACAGCAGCAATTGCAACAACAGCAGGAGGTGCAGCAGCTTTCAGGTGACGACTGCGAGCCCCACACGGAGACACCCCCCCCCACAAGGAAGCGGCTGTGCAGCACTGTTCAAGACCAAGCTGCCGCTGCTGCTGCCGCTGCTGCTGTTGTTGCTGCTGCTGCTTCTTCTTCTTCGTGCAGAGCCTCCAACGATGCAGCTGAAGCAGCAGAAAGCCATGAACCTAAGAGGAGCCGCAGACTCATGGAGGCGAGGGCCTCTGCTGCTGCTGCTGCTGCTGCTGCTGCTGCTGCTGCTGCTGCAGCTGCTGCTGCTGCTGCCACCTCTGCAGCGGCAGCATCGGCGCGGAAGGAGGCAGAAGCGATTGAGCAGTCGAACAAGAAAGAGGCCTCAACGGGGGAAGATGACGTGCCGACAGTTGAAGCGATTGACGTCGAGGAGGAAGCCCAGCAGCAGTCGCAGAAGCAGCAGCAGCGCATTACAATCAGCGAACAAGCGCGAAGACATGCCAACGGGCTAAGAGGCCCTTGGAGTGAAATCTTTGGAGGCGCCCGCAAAGCAGCAGCAAGAGGCCCCTCGAGAGCTTCGCCTCGCGATAAGAAGGCAGTCAAGGGTGTGAGAGGCGCCATGCTTTCTTTCTCTTGCAGCAGCAGCGGCAGCAGCAGCGGCAGAAGGCTTTCGGGGGGGGCCCCCTTCAAGAGCGCAGCGCAGGAAGTAGATGAATTCCAGCTCCAGGAGGCCCTTTTGCGGAGGCAGCAAAGGCAGCACAGGCAGCAGCAGCTCCTCTACCAGGAGCAGCAGGAGCGACTGAGGCTGCTGCAGGAGCAGCACGTTGCAGCAGACACCAGTCGTCAGTGGCTTGAAAGTCTCTCGTGCCCGCCCTTTCTTAAAGCAGCCGCTGAAAATGCATCACGGGATGCTCTGAAGGCTCTTCTAGGGGGGCCCCCCTTGACTGCTGCTCCTCGATGGGGGGCCCCTAGGGGGCACACGACGGTTTTCCTCTTGGCGCCCTTTGTCTTCACGTCGGAAGCGGCACTTCGAGCGGCAATCGAAGCGGCAGGTGACTCTAGAGAAGCGCGAGACAGCCGAGTTCGCGTATGCGATAGTTGTTGGTGCTCTTGTTGTTGTTACTGCGATGTGCTGTTGTTGCTGTTGTTGGTGCGATAGTTGTTGTTGTTGTTGCTGCGATAGTTGTTGGCGCTGTTGCTGTTACTGTTGTCACTGTTATTACTGCGGTATGTTTTTGTTGCTGTTGTTATTACTGCGATATGTTGTTGCTGTTGTTGTTACTGTTGTTGCTGCGATATGTTGTTGCTATTACTACGATATGTTGTTGCTATTACTGCGATTGTTGTTGCTATTACTGCGATTGTTGTTGCTGTTGTTGTTTCTGCGATATGTTGCTGTTGTTGTTACTGTTGTTGCTGCGATATGTTGTTACTGCGATAGTTCCTGCTATTACTGCGATATGTTGTTACTGTTGTGTCTGCGATACGTCGTTACTGCGACAGTTCTTGCCATTACTGCGATATGTTGTTACTGTTGTTACTGCGATATGTTGTTACTGCGATAGTTCCTGCTATTACTGCGATAAATTGTTACTGTTGTGTCTGCGATACGTCGTTACTGCGACAGTTCTTGCCATTACTGCGATATGTTGTTGCTGTTGTTGCTGCGATATGTTGTTACTGCGATAGTTGTTGCTATTACTGCGATATGTTGTCACTGTTGTTTCTGCGATATGTCGTTACTGCGACAGTTCTTGCCATTACTGCGATATGTTGTTGCTGTTGTTTCTGCGATATGTTGTTACTGCGATAGTTGTTGCTATTACTGCGATATGTTGTGTTGGTGTTTAGTGTTGGTGGCTTCGGCGTGGAAAGTGAGGGCGATCAGTGGGGTGCTGCCTTCAGGTGTACTGACAACGCGCTGCCGACGTCGGGCGCAATTCGTCGTGACAGGATGCACTGCATACACCACGGCAGCACGTGCAACAGCTGCCATTGACGAAGATTGTGTCATTAGTGAGCTTCAAGTGTTAGAGGCCTTCGGTGTCTCTTTGGAGACTGCGGCACTCCGATTCTCCCCTCTTCATCCGAGGAGCTGCACGCCTCTCTCTGCGATAGTTGCCAAGCCTCTGCGAAGGCTGCTGCAACTGCGCCAGCAGCAGTCGCATTTTCCGCGAGAAAAAGGGCAGCAGAAAAAGCCTTCAAATGATGCGCAGGAGCAACAGCAGCAGCAGGAACGACAAGACCAACAACAGCAGCAGGAGGAACGACAGCACTTTCGACAGGAGTCTGAGGAGCTTTCAGCGCATGCCGTGGAAGCTGCTGCGCATCGACAACAACAGCAGCAGCAGCAGCAGTATGAGAGCGAGAGGAATGGTGCTGCTCTTGACTTGTTATTCCTAAGGGAGACTTGGCCAGATGCCTTTCATCCCGTTTCGCCTGGCGAGATTGGTGGGAACGATGACGGAGCAGCGGCCCTTCATGCGGTGCTGTCTTGTGCTGCTCGCTCGTGCGCTGCAGCAGCGGAGGCTGTGAGGAAGCGCAGGCATGCGGCAGGTTCAAAAGTCGTGGCAGCAGGCGGCGCCGATGCTGCTGTTGCACCTGCGACGGACAGAAAGAAGCGGAACGGCCGTGAGCCACCCTTTGCTGACGATGCTGGAGAGGCATTTACTCCTTCCCCAGGAGTTGTAGTTGTCTCGCTGCCTCCCCGCTGTGGGGGGGAGGCCCTTGTGCGCCTTGTCGCGCTTGCCTCTGGGTTCTTTGCAGCTGAAGAGGACGCCTTGAGAGAGGCTAGTCACATCGAGGAGCTCATGCAGTTCTTCGCTTCCTCCCACAGCGCGGAGGCGAAGTTCGAGCCTGCGGCTGGAGTGGCGTGTGCAGGGGTTCCTGCTTCTGCTACTTCTCCTGCTGCCTCTGCGAGCGTCGAAGCAGAAAGCGCAGCTCGCGAGGCGGCTCCCTTGCAGCCGCTGCTGCGTCTAAGCCTCTACGATTTCTGGACGCTGTCTAAGAAGCAGCTGGCGAGGCTGCTGCTGCGCCGTCGGGAGGGGAGTGCGCGCGTGGCGCCTCTTTCAGGAGACCCCTCTGTTGTTGCTCGGTCGGCTGCAGCGCAAGCGGCGTCTGCTGCATGCGCTCCAGACGTGTGTCTGGCCGTTTGGAGGGAGGGAGACGATGCCCTCTCCGTCAGGAAGGCGGCAGAGACTCTGATAGAAGAGGCTCTCAAGGATCATGGCAGCAAACCGGGGGGGATGAGCGGCCGTGTCTCTGCGGGAGCTGCGCCTCGTCAGCAGCAGCCGCTACATCGCGGCAAAAATACAAGAAACGCTCCTGAAGACGAAGCATGCGACAACTGGCGAAGTCTGGTCGCCTTCGTGGAGCTTGCGAGACCTCCCAGAGAGGCATTTGTGCAGAGGTAAGAGTAAAAGCCTTTTTGTCGCTTGTGCCTTCGACCTGGCAGCATATCTGTATGTATATATATATATATGTATGTATATATGTATCTCGCGTGCATCACGGCAATGCTGCCGCCTCCCCTTTCGCCTTCTACCCGCGTCTGTGAGGCCGCTCCAGCAAGCAGGTGAGCGTCCTGTGTGCATGCAGCTACGCTAGTTGACGCTGCTGCTGCTGCTGCTTATGTGGTGGCGTGCTGCTGTGTTTCAGGCTGCTGGCAATCCTTTGGGGGGCCCTCGGTATTCGGCTGGATCGTCGATTCGTTGGCTTGTTGCTTGATGCCACTGCTCCCCCCAACGAAGAGGAAGCACCCAGTCTGGAAGCAGCACTCAGCTGTCTGCACGTTCTTGTGCGCACCCATCCGCATCTGCGGCAGCTCCATGCGCTTGCTGCTGCTGCTACTCCTACTCTTCCGGGAGACGTTGTAGTGTCAGTGCCAACGCCGCCTTCGGCAGCAGCAGCAGCAAGTGAGGAGGTCACTACACGGGTTCCAGCTTTGCCCTTGTTGCTGCCGTACGAGGAGCCTTTGAAAGAGGAGACAGAGGCTGAACGCGCCCTTCGGTGGCTTCAGCAAGATCACTTGCTGCAACACTTCATAATACCGCCGTTAGAGAGGCCTCTAGAGCTCCCATGGGGCCTTGCGGAAGCCCAGCTGCTGCCTTCCTGGAGGCTGCAGCGGGGAGACAGGAGGCAGCAGCTGCAGCTCTTTGCCTTGCGGAATTCCCAGGCTGGCGACATCCTAGCGGCCCCTCTGCATGCCCTCGACCTCCTCTTTTGGAAGCTCACGCCAGGAGGTTTGATCGGGGGAGGGGGGGGGAAGCTCCCAAGAAACGCCGAGGGGCAGCAGCAGCAGCAGCTGCTGCAGCTGCGCATGGAGAGCGTTGCCCACATCTTGCGAGCCTTTGTCGCAGCCGCTAAAATGCTGAAATGGGAGGAAGCAGGCAGAGGGCCTTTGTCGGATGCAGGGGATGAGGTCTGCTACGCGTGGGGGGGGGCGGGCGACGCCAAGTCGGAGGGGGCCCCCGGGGGGGGCCCCCCTCCCAGCGCTGTAGACGCGGAGGCACTCGCCGCAGCGCTGAGCAAGTGCGTCCCCGTGTGTCTCTCCCCAGTAGCGGCATCGCCTTGCGCTGCCGCAGCCTGCGAGCTGGTGGGAGAGCTGGCGTTGGGGGCAGTTGCGCTCCTGCAGCACGGCGATCTTCCAGGGGCCTTTGAGAGTCTGAACACGAGTTCGACGGCTTCCCTGGTGCTGCATCGGCGTAGGGTTCGATCTCTCGCGCAGCAGCAGAGGCAAGCGACTCGAAAGCGCATGCAGAGAGCCGTGGAGGGCCCTCAGCGCGCAGTTTTGCTCGCGCAGCGTCTGACTGCCGTAGGTCTGCAGAGCCTTGCAGAGAGAAGCGGCAGCCAAGGGCCCCCCCCCTCTCGGGAGGGGGGAGGCTCTCCGGAGGCTGTTGTGCAAGTATTAGAAGACGGCGAGGAGCTGAGCAGCGAGGAGCTGAGCAGCGACAGTTCAGGAAGGACGGTTCAGAACCTGCAGTTGGTGGAGGCGGAGGTGTCTGAAGAGGCGGAAGCAGAGGCGGCTGACGTGGGCGCTCTGCTGGAAAGGTATGTCCTCCCGTGCGGGGAGGCTATGCCCTTCTCCTCGGTGGGCACTTTGCTGCATGCGGGGGAGGAGGTGAGGCTCTCGCTGCTGGAACGCGCGACTGAGAGGCAGCAAAAAGCCACTGGGAGAGGCCGAGGCTCCAAGGGGGGGGGGGGAAACAGAGGGCGGGGCCTTCCCTCCCTTGAGCCGCAGGCAAAACTCGACTCCATCCTGTCGTGGCTGGAGGGCGTCACCGCTTCCAGCCGGTGATTGCTCACAGCCGCAAACATAGGAGGCCTGAGAGAGGGCCTGCGTAGTCTAGAGAAAAAAGTGTAGCGACGCGAAGCCCCCTTGCTTCGCTGCGAGAGCTCATCGGTGCCGCCGCTGCCAAAGTCTTAGGCCGTGTGCACCCTGAAAAGGCGCGTTGCGTGCGCTACTTTAGCCCTCCTGGCTCTCCCCTTCCCTGTCTCCCCGATTCGCCTGAGTCCGTAGAGTTTCGCTGTCTAGAAGCCAGGCTCCGCCGCTTAGGGCATGCATACGGCACGTACGAAGGATCGTCTCCCGTGGCTTCTTGGTTCCCCTCACCCACGACAAATAGAAGGCGCTTACGTGCTGCAAACGCGTTTCTCTTAGCTTTACGTGCACTCCCTAGGGAAACCTTTCTAAAGCCACCAGCTGCTGCAGTTGCTGCTCTAGCAGCGCAAAACAACGACCCAGGCGTGTGCCAGCCGGCAGTCGTCGGGCTCTTCACAAAAGCGGCCCTCTCCCGCCACAGGCCGCATGCTCTCTTGGGGCTTCCCTGCTAAAGGAGAGCCGTCAAAACTTGGAAGAAAGGTCATGGGAAGCTCCGGAAGGAAGCCAGCCGGAACATACTACTAGCCGAGTGCTGCCGCAGCAGCGGGCAGACTGGCCGTAACGCGCAGTCCTGTACAGACCTGTGGCGAGGTTCCCTCGAGCAACTTTTTCCTGCCCAGCAACACACCCCTATGGAAACACACCGGCTCCTTCTCGTACCAGGGGCGCAGAGAAGGCCATGCCGGATGATGCGCCTCGACGGCCTCCTCTAGTAGAACTCCCTCTCGCAAGGTGATGTGTTGGCGGGAAGACAGTTGTGAATGCTCCCGTAAGGCTAATGCCCCACCCGGAGACAGCCAATCTCAGGGAAAACAGCCTTCAAGGCAGGCGCTTTCTCGTTACCTACCCAGGGGTTACACAACAGGTGCATCCAAGCTTCACACTTGGAAACGATTAACGGGGTCCTTCCCACACTCCAGCCCTCCCTGTGGCTCCCCACCTCAGGGCCAGCACCCCCACGAATACATCATCCACAAACCCCTCCCCGGCAGCACGAGCTCTCTCTCTCTCCCTGGTGCCCCCCCTTCACTGGCATCTATACAGAGTGCAGCCTTGTCTTCGCCTCCAGCTCAATCCCAGCGCACTCCCTAGACAGCCGGCGACTCAAATGTAAGCGTGAGAAGGAGGAGCACGCTGCCTTCAGAGCGTGATAGCGGCTTGGGCAACTGCGCTGGAGTGCTGGCAACACGGGTTGTTCAGCTTTCGTGCAACTACGGCCACAGGAAGCGTGTGCGGGGCATCAAGACAAAACTTCTTGAAGCAAAGTCACGCCATGTAGCAAAAAAAAGAGAGCTTTTCCTCGAGCCCACACCGCAAAGAGCCCAACATGCAGGGCGGGTATCGCTGAGAGGAAAAGAGGAAACACCAGGGCAGAGATAAGCCAACACCTCTTGCTTCCGTGGAATCTCACAAAGGCCTAATGCCTCTTTACAAACAGCCTGTCTTTGGCGAACACGCATGTCTGCGGACGCCGCAGAGACAGCAAGAGACTCTGATGAATCATAAGCCCCGGGAAGCTCGGCACTTCAGGGGGCCTTTTTGGACTTCAAGTCAGTGGCTGGAGAGGCTTGTTGGCTTCCGAGAAACGGAAGCGCGGCGAAGAGATCTGAAGGACGATCCGCAGAAAAAAAGCGCGCATGAGAGAGAGAGGGACAGACAGACAGATAAGGAGTAGGTACTACGGAAAGCACCATGCGCTGTTTTAAAAGCACACGCATCAAGACTTGGGGTCTACCAGGCTTTGATGCGCGTCTCGAACTTCCCCCACGTTTCGAGGTGATCTGACGCGCTTCGCCACTACTGCAGAAGAGAGGTGTTAACAGGCATTCGCTGGCGTGTGACATTCCACCCCAGTATTTAGGAGACTCGGTGAGAAGTCTTACACGAAGCGGCGCTGCCACTGGGGAACCCCCCCCGGATGACCAGGTAGATAATGAGGCAGTACAGCAGAGCACTCAAAAGCACCAGCCAATCAAAGAAGGTTGAGCGGGCTTCCGCAAACATCACGGAAATAGGCGGTTCCTGAGGAAACAGCAGAAAGACCAGCGATAGTAGCGCGAAAAACATCGGGCAAGGGTGCGATGTAAAGGCCATATTTCTAGGCCCTTGGCATACTGCATGAACGTAGCCTGGAGGCGTGAAGTAGGGGCGTCCTAGATGAGAAATCACACAGCCGATCTCAGCTCGATCGTTTAGCCCTCCTCTTAACAAGCACTGCCCGGCGCATGCATGCGTGGTGCGCTTCCGCAAAATCAATGCGCAATGCAACTTCAGCAGTAGCAAGGCGCGAGAAGCAGACCAATCAAGCGAGTCTTCCGTGCATGCAAGAGCCCCTTTTCATCGTGAAGAAGGCTTGTTTCCCCATTCAAAAAATTCCCCCGCCTTCCCACTTCCAGCAAAGCACCCCCACGCGAACACAGCCACAGCAGTGCCTCTGTACAGCACGCCAGCTATGCAACGACACACAGATAGGCAGGTGTGGCACTTGCATTCCGGCGAGGAGATAGAAGCTGCAGTCCCCCCCCAAAGCGGTGAGAAGCCCGCCTTACATAGGAGAAGCCGAAGCCAGCCATGTCCACCTCAAACTCGTGCCTCTCCGTGACGAGTCCGACATCGTGCAGCTCTGCCTCTATGGCCTCGAGGAAATAAAGCGGCGAAGCGTTCGAGCCCTGATAAGCCTCGAGATGCCGATACGCCACGAATCTGCAGGGAAGAAAGCGCACAGGGGGCGCATAAGGCAAGGAGGCAGAAGAGCATCCTGCTGCCGTTCGTGGCGCTGCTGCCGGCAGCAGTGCCACAAACGGATTCAACACGGGATACCTTACAAACGAAGGTGCAAGCATCCCCCCATGGGGGCGTAAGCATATAGAACAAAGGAGCAGCATGGACGGGCAAAAGAGAGAGCCGCACAGGGTTCGTTGCACAGGCAGAAATGGACGCAGCAAACACCACATCAAAGACCCCCTGAAAAAGATATTCTCTGTTCGCAAGTATAAGAGAGCGTAAGAAGCCCTTTTCTGCACAAGAAGTTTCGCGATGGAGGCCGTGTCTTTTCTATTTTTCTTGCCTCGGGGAAGCTGCGGCGCGTTGCTGCCACGCAGCGAGGAGCCGAGGGACGGTAGTGGATCCATCGCGGAAGGTGAGTCGATCTTTGGGAGACTCTGCGTGCCAGAGAAAACGCGCAGTGCCCTCCGCCAGGCCCCGTACCGCCTTCGCCAGTGCAACCCTGTCTAGACTGCGCACACGCGGAGGGTGGGCAGACAAGCGAAGCTAAAAGGATCAGAGACTTGCAGCGGCCAAGACACAGTAGAGAAGCCTTCCGCTTCGGCACAAACCGCGGACTTGCGGGGGGACAAGAAGCACAAAGTCAAAGTGGGCGTGCTTCCTGCCAGTTGCTTGCTAGCAGGAAGCACCGCTTTTTTCGCCTATGGAATCATAACCGGAAGAGAGTGCCGCCGTCCCGCCGCTCGTGTGTGCGAAGTTGCGACTCCTTTTCAGCTAAAGCAGCAACCTCAAGACGCCTGGCCTTGTAAGTGCAGCAGGCAGGCATGGCCGCGCTCCGTCTAAAGCAAGCGAGCAACACAAACCATCTCTCAACCCGCCTACGGGGAGAGAGGTCGGAGGCTTCCTGCTCAGCTGCACTACTGCGCACAGAAACGGGAAAACTCGCTCCCGTCACAAGCGCGACACGGCAGGCGTCTCTCTCGCGAAGGCGTGTGCAGGGAAACAACCGCTTCTTACTGGTCGTCTGTAAGCCCTTGTCGGTTCCACAGATGCTTCACCTCGGCTTCTGCAGAAAGAGTTCCGGCGATGACTTTGGCCCTCGTGAAGAGCTCATGAGGCCAAAGCGGTAGCGCCCTCTCGCCTACGGCGAGCTTTTTCGTTTTAACAGCCAAATCAATACCTTCAGCCAGCAAGGCTCTCTCCAATGCCTGCAGCAGGCACGACCGCAAAGGCGCCACCAGAGAAATGCGTGTGTGTGTCTGTGTCTGTGTGTGTCTGTGTCTGTGTCTGTGTGTGTGTGTCTGTGTGTGTGTCTGTCTGTGTGTGTGTGTGTGCAAGAAGAAAGACGATGTGACCAACAAGCAGCACAGCCAGACAAGCGCTAACAACACACCCTGTGTCAGGTTAGATTGCGCGGGGCACACAATTACAAGCAGGCAAACATCCGGGAAAACACACGGCTTGATACCAACGACTCCCGATGGAGTGCGCCGCAAACAGGCACAGGCATTCTCGCCCTCTTTTAGAGCGGGATCCTTCCCCTTCTCCCTCTTTCCCTCCCTCCCGACCCCTCAAAGCCAGGGGCCCCCCACGATCCTGCCTCTCCACCCTTTGCTTTCGATCGCAGCACGTGTGGAGCCAAAGAGCAGTGATGTGCGGGCGGAAGCGGATGAGCAGAAAAAGAATAACCAGGAGCAACACTGCATGCAAGAAGACGGCAAAAGGTGCGCTGCCGTGGCAGCAGGATGATGACGGACTTACCCCCAGGAAGCGCACAGCCTCTGGATCTTTGTAGGCCTTTGGCGTGTGAAGCGTCAAGGCGTGAGCAGCCAAATTATCGAGACAAAGAGCATAGCTAATGGCGTTCAGCAGACTGAGCGCATAAGCCATTCCGCCGACCAGCCACACATGCCCAGTAGGGGCAGAGCCCTAGCCTACTGCCGAAGCAGATTACCACCAGATGCCTTTGAAACGAATGCATTCGGTAAAAATCTGAGAGTCCCTCTAAGTCCCTTTTGTGTGCATGCACTCCCCACATGGATGGCAGGAAGGTGAAAAGAGAGGGAGGGAGAAAGAGATAGAGCGAGACAAGCAACTGCACGAGACCCCAGCCTGCCGCGATGTAGTGCGTTTGCTCGTTGGCATAGCGACGCATACAACCCTCGATATTCGGCTCTGAATGGCGCAAACTCTGAACCCTAGACCCCCCCACTCTAAAATCTGCGTTCGAAAGCCTATGGCATAATCCTGAAGGCCTAAAGCTTCAGACAGGGGCTGCTCACCTCGATTCCGCAGAGCCAATCCACTCAGCGACTCCCCCATAGTTGAGGGCCCCTGCATCTGCGACAACGAAGGCGATGTTGTATGCGGCCTGCTTCTCGGCAAAGAGCTTTCGCAGTTCACGGGCTAAGGCCAACAGGACTGAAAACAACCAGCAGACACACGCCGGCAAAATCCTTCACAATGCACCGCTGCGTCTTCAACAGGGTAGCCCACACAGCCCCCTACGAGAGGGGCACACCCATAATTAGGATCGCTTTTCGTGGACTGAAAAATTTCTCCCATATTCCTCTCCCTTGACGCCCCAACGCCCTGCTGGGCATGCGGAAGAAGCCGCAGAGATAATACTAGAGACACGCAAGAGACACCCTCCATGACGACTGCAGTTGCCACCAAAAAGATACACATATACATGCCCCATGCTCTAGTTTCACCCCCCGCATACCTGCGAGCCCGCTGGCGCTTGAACTAACAGCCGTTGCAAAGTGCTGCACACACAAGCAGACATGCACACACAAGCAGACACACACACACAGACCTATTCATACACACACACATATATGTACATACCTAACCAGACACGCATCACATGCCAAAGCCCCACAAACCCTGATTCGCGAGATGCGCAGCTCAAAAAGCAGGAAGAGGATCAGGACCGGCCAGACGCTCAAGCCAAGTAAGGCGCATTCCGCGACGAGCGAATTACTAGCGATGACCAACGTACAGGAACACAGGCGAATGCGTCGTGATGAGCCACAAAGACGAGCGTGGGGGCATGCGATTCGCTCTCGTCTGGCTGCCCCCTGAGCCATGCCTGCGAACACAAAACACACTCCAATAGAAGGCCAAGATGCACACAGAGAGCACCCGCACAGGCATACGGAGTAGCAGCTGTATGCCATTCACAAAATGGGAAGGACGAACGGCAAAGAAAGCGAGCCTTTGCATATGAAGTGCCCCCCGCTACATGATAGGATACGAAAATCACATGCCTTGCTAGGTGTCTTCCGCGCAAAAGCACAAGCATCCCCGCATATGTATATAGTTATACATGCACTTAAATACAAATATATTTATACTCATGCATGCGCAAATGGACATGCAAAAATAGCATTGCGTATGCATAACCGTGGTTCTCTTGCTTGCGTCGCGTCCGCAATGGGCGAACTATATATGTGTAGTAACGCACTGTAAGGGTCAAGCCTTTGACAGTTTGAACTGGCTTCCACTCCTGCACGTAATCCGCAAAGGCCGAAATGAAGGGCCGGAACAGGGGAGGTTTCATGGGCGCCAGCGCCGATGCCTCTGCAACGAGAAAGAAACAGCACAGAGCAGCAGCTTGCTGGCTCTTCAGCCTTTGACAACTTGACGTTCGTATGTTGCGTAAGGCAGTGTAGAGCCTCAGAGCGGTTGCCAAGGACCTTAAATCATCTGCCTTGCAAAAGAAATATACCTCCTAGACACCTGGTTGCTTGTCTAACTGTCCGCCTAGCTATCTCTAAGGCTTTCTTTCATGTGCTATCTCCACACCGCTGACGCCATTTGCATACGCAGTAAAAGGAAGGCCCCTGCGGAGGGGGGGAAAAAGAAGGGGGGAATGAATGGGGGAAGAAGGAGGGAAGAAAGGGGGGAAGAAGGAGGGAAGGAAGGGCCGGTCCGGTAGCGTCTCTTGATGCAAAAGCGCCAAGTCCAACTCAAGGCGGAAGCATGCGAGTGTCAAGCATGAAAAGGCACGGTATGCAGGTGTGAATACTCTAGATCAATGCTCACGCTAACGTGGAGAAGAGGCAGTGATGCTGTCCATCCCTTATAAGACGCTGCACTCACCGTCCTCTCGGATGCGCCTCAGCAGAATATCCGTATTAGCATTCTGCCTTCCAAAAGCAATGGCGGCGCTGCTGTGTCTGTCCAGCAGCATTTTCTCGATTTCTCGCATTTCCTTCTCTGCCGTAGCGCTCAAGAACTCTCCTTGAGACGGTAGCAGCAGCAGCATAAAATGCGGAGTTTGAAGCAGTCGTTCCACCTGAAAGAGCACTCACTGCCAGAGGCAGCAATATTCGGTGTCAAGGCGGATGCAGAAGGCTCTTGACTTGCACGAGAAAGGAGCCATGGAAGGAGCACGCCAAGCACATGTGCACATGGCCCAGTATGTATTATATCTGCGCACGTAGGTGTGTAGATACATACACACACATACAGCTACGTGTTTGTCTATGTAAATATATATTTGTATATATGTACATGTATGCATATGTGAAGGTAGGTGTAAATGTATGCATGTGGAAGTGTGTATCTCTGTAGAGGCATGTGTGGACAAGTGCACCTGCAAAAGCACTCATCTACACATACGTCGACAGAGATACACGCTTCCCTACGCCAGAGGCTGATGCTTGCCTTTGCTGCCGTGATGGTTTCAACAGTAGTCACACACAGTGCTCGGCGGTTTGTTGTCGATTCTGCAACGATGTCCAACAACTGTTCGCAAGTGCATACGGGGGCCCCCCCCAATGCAACTCGTCCCCACGTCCCTAGGGGGGCCCCTGACGCTCCCTTGTACTGCAAAGGGCGGTAGGCGACCATTGTCATTTCGCTGCTTGCCTGCAGCATTAGCAGCAACAACAGCGGCAGTGCACGTTAGGTTTTACCGACCAAGTATGTGCGGAGAAGTCTTTGCAGTCTGCGGAAGTTGTCAGCGCCGAGACGGGCGGCAAGGTGAGGGGAGAAACGTCATCCACAAGGCACGAGGGATTTGTTTTCCTACATGCCGGCCCTCGGTTGCGCTGGCGCCTTTGCAGCTGAACAGCAGCACAGTAACCCGCCTATTTTCAACGTTCCCTCTTCTTACCTTTGCGAAGGAGACGAAAGACGACAGGCCCCCACACAGGGCAGCTCCCCAGACGCACAGCAAGGACGCCTTCATCCTTCCAAGGTCCTTGCTGTCTGGCGAAGAAGGCGAATAGGGCTGTAGCTGCGCCTCCTTTGGCCCTCCTCCTGCTGAATGCGCAGGAATGCCCCCCTTTTAAGACGCGCTCCGTCTCAGAAAGGAGTTCAAAGCAGGGAATAGTCGGCGGAGCGGCTGAAAAGCGAACTGCGTGTAGGGGGCCCCCGTGTCCACACTGCTGAGGAGTTCAACAAACACACCTTTTCTGTCGTGACACAGGACCTGTACCGTACAGTCTATGTCCTGAAGGCTACAGGATTAGAGGAGTCCAAGGGCGAGCTGTAGGCTGCGGCGCTCTGTCTGAAGTACATGGGCAGTGTGTGCCCGCCAGTGCTGGAGATTACAAAAAGGCAGGCCTTGAAGGACACTCGAGAACTCTCTCCCGCCTCACTTTTCTCCAAACTAAACAAATTAACAACCTTAAAAAGGGCATTGCTGTCAATCCTGCACCGACGAGGGCCCATATGCGATGCCCTCCCGATCCACCCGCACCCTCCGCTGTCGGCGATCCTAGGGCCTCCTCCCTCTTGGGCTGCCTTTGACTGCTGCGCTTGCATGCATCTTCATCTTGACTGCAGTGTTTTGTCCACCACTTTGCTAATTATTATAGCGCCGAAACTCGTGCGGGCTTCCTCTGCACCCCTTTTTCTTCTTTCACACACGCCCGAACACTTCTCCCCACGGACAGCGAGCCATCGACACATGACTTGTGTGGAAACAGAATGTTCGGCCCCATCGGCAGGGAATAAGTGGGATGCCTGCGGGGTGTTGCATTGGGCTGCTATCAAGGGTGCCAAGTGGGCGAAGTGCAAGTAAAAGAACTGTGTGCCTGTTTGGCTCTTCATCGGAGCATTCGTGGCATGCCGCAGGGAATGCCTCTGCATGAACACCCTGCTACAGTTCTACCTGTATGCAAAAAGAGTGCCCTTTGAGAGCCTGAATGAGTATGATGATGGTACGTGGAAAACAGCCCAGAGAATGCAGCTTGCGCGTCTGCCAGCGATATTGACATCGGTAGCTTCTGTTCTGCTGCCGCTCGACAGCCAAGTGGGCGCCAGTAAGCTCGTGGGAGAAGAGTTCTGATCACGACTCGCAGGTTCAGCAAAAAAGCACCTTTGTAGCCCTCGAACAAAGGTCTTAGTGAACGGCATATTCCTTCGATTTCCTCAAGTGCAGCGCGGCAAGGGCAGAGGCAGTACATTTTCGAACTAACTTGCAACTTCCGTTATCTATGCACCCAACTATGCAAATAAGGGTTTGTACGTTGCCCTTACCATGTGTCCGTGAGTTGCTCCTATTACAGAGAAGAGGCATACAGACTAATAGGTTCCCAGCCAGATATAAACCATGAGGGGCTCTCGTTGAGTGAACTTGAGCTCCAGGTCGTAGGAACGCCTGAGTTCAATTCAGTTGGTCCTTCTGATAATTAGAACGGCGTTGCAGTCACCCGAACAAATGTCTGTTGCTTCAGAACAAGGCAGCACTCCGCACAGAAGGCTCGCTCATGCAGGTGACGCATGGATTCCATGAGAACGTCAACACACTCTTTTTTGTCTGCATGTGTTGCTGGGAGTACTGCTGCTGTTTGGGGCTCCTTCTATACCGTCAGCTCCTGCCACCTCCATCACGCAGATTGCATATCATCACCAGCAAGTAAAACAGCAGCAGCACCAGCAGTCTGTGCACTTGACGCGGCAAACCTAAAGCAGCAGAGCCCACGCGACAGGAGTAGGGCTTCACTTCTGCACAGTCGTTGCCTTCAAACTGTGCGCGTACCACCCCTTTTTAAATTTCCTTAGTGTGAACCTCGGCCACTTGGGCCGAACCAAGATATAGGCGTTGTCAGTTATTTCTCTATTATAATGAATTTCGCCTCATTCATCCTACGCGCGCCCTGCACGGTTCCGGCCTGCTGGCAGGAAGCTTCACCGGAGTGCATAAAGCCACCGTGATCAGGCGTTCGCACACAAGAGCTTAAAGCGCCGGAACACGGCAGGCATGATTGGTGCATAAAGCTAGGCCCGATCTTCAACAAATTAGATACCTAAAAGACCAACCCATGCAATCACTACTCAAAAGCAAAGCCCCAGAGCTAAACAAGCTGTTTGGCACAAACTGCCCATGCGAATTATGATTCACTGTAGAACTGCATGGCTCCTCCTCACCCTTTGAATTTGAGGGCCCAAGGGCGTCCTGCGTCCCTCGAGAGAAGACGCAAGGGAAGGAACGGACGCACCGACCGAGAGTTTTCCAGGCAGCACGACAGGCACACTTAAAACAAAGCACAGCTACAGGCGCAGTACGGAGCAGCGAAACCTGCAATTAGGCAGTATCAGCCCCAGGAGCTTGAAAGTCTCATAGCAATACGATAACAAGGTGACCTCTTGAATTGGAAACTTTTATTGTTCCAGCATAATTTGAACTCTATAGCGCAAGAACGGACAGGTCATGCATGTGCGCTGGCTACTATCCACGACTGATTGCGAATGCCCCTTGAGCTCAAAGCATGGAGCAAAGGCCCAAAGCATGCATGCTGGCCTCTTTCCCCTCAGGGTGGAACCATGTTGGGGGAAGGCGGAAGGGAAGCCGGGGAGGAGAGGAAGCCCTTCTGGGGAAACAGCTCAAAACCATTTTTTCCCCTTACACTAGGCTTCAGGCTAGAACAAAGGCACTCTGCAGATCTGCAGTGGAGCCTAAATATCCGCCGCGTGCAGTGAAAAACCGGCATTGTGTGCTTCTGAATAAACCAGGCGATGTAAGAGCGACGCAATACGCATGACCCCCCTACATAGTGCCTTCCTCAGTAAAGCAGCAACGAGTGCACATGCCTGATACAGGCCGTCGAGCAAACATGGTGCATCCTCTACGAGCAATTAGAACATGATACTAGCCAGTAGCGGCCTGGCCTAGACAGCGGCCGCTTTGGAAAAGTTCTCCAACAGAAAGAAACTAATAAGCGACATAAAGTGGCACCAGAGACAGCAGGAGAGAATAACGAGCAAAACCACAGAGACTGCAGATGCCCAGTGGGCTGGGCCCCCCTTTTACTCCCTTTCAATGACCCTCCCTCCGATACTGTGCCTCACCAGGAACCGTTCCTGCTCAGCTTGCAACGCAAACTGCCTGTGGGGTTTTCTCCAGACTTTCCGGCAAGCTGGCAATCACGTAACAACTAAAAAAGCAGAAATTGCATTCTTTGCTGCAGTGATGAGGAAGCCAGCGAGCCAGCGAGTGCCCGAGAAGCAGCAGCACCCCCCGCGGTGTCGCGGCGGCTGCTTTACCAAAGCTAGCCTTGTTGCTTCTGGTGTGTCTTTGACCTAGGCATCTTCTATTAAGTGGCATAATTTGTGTGCATTATATCGAGATTATATGTATCCTTTATTCAAGATAGGTGTATTTTATTCCTTATTTCGCGTGGTTCTTGGTCATTCGCACGGAAGCCGGTGGTTCGTGTAGCAGCACTCGCTTCCCCTTCGCGTTCACCTGCTTAGCTTCGCCTCTCCGCCTTTGTTCACGTGGACTCGACCGTTTAATTGACACAAAATGGCATTACTATCGAAACTCTCGAGCATATGTTTCACGGCAGTGCTTGCTGCTTCTCTCTATCCTAATATGGCAACCCCTGCAGTGGCATCCATGGATCCGTCGCAGGTGACAGTCGAGCAACTCTACGGCCAAATCGCGGGTCCCAGCGTTGAAGAAAATCCCAACTTTGTCTTCTCTCCACTTAGCATCTTTACCGTGTTCCACGCAGCGCAGAGAGGTGCCGCGGGTGAGACAAGACGACAAATGGACGCCCTCGTTGGTCCGAACGAGTCCTTTGATATCCCCGAACTGGAGCAGTCCAACCGCGCAGGAGGCGCTGTAGTTGCCGATGTTGCGAACCGGCTCTACGTCCACCCTGGACTCGAACATAATGAGCATTTTGTCCGCTTCCAGCGAGAGTTGGAGAGGGAAAAGCACTCCGCTGAAGTCATCGACTTCGATGATTCAGCAGCAGCAGCGAAGAAGATCAACAGTTTTGTGGCAGATGCCACGAGGGATCATATTAAGCGCCTCGTTGACCCGTCTTCCTTAGGCCCGCAGACGCGCCTGGTGTTGATCAACGCCTTGTACTTCAAAGCGCCGTGGCTCACACAATTCCAGGATCATGCAACAAGCAGAGATGTGTTCTTCGCTCATTCTGGCCCCCAGAAAGTCTTTTTCATGAATGGAACGCTGACTAAGGACCCCCTTCTCATTTCGATGCAGAAAGAAGTCCTTGCCTTGGGTCTGCCGTACGCTGACCCTCGCCTCCGCCTATACATTTTCATGCCCGAAAACCTTCAGGAATTTGAACAGCAAATAGTGAAATCTCCGAAGGTCATAGAAGACCTCATTGACAACATGGAATCGCACGCTATTGCTGGGTTATCTGAGGAGCTGCACATCTCCATGCCAAGGTTCAAGCTTTCCGCTGAGGATAACAAGATCGACTTGATAGAGCTCTTTGCGTCTATGGGTGCCACTGACATGTTCGATATGGATAAGGCAGACTTTTCTGGCATTACAGGCGGCAGGGATCTGTGTGTTTCTTCCTTTGTTCACCAGGCAGATATCGATGTGAATGAGGAAGGCACCGAGGCGACGGCTGCCACTGCCATGGCCATGATGCTGCGCATGATGGCCATGCCTAAAACCCCAATTAATGTAGTTCTCAACAAGCCCTTCATCTTCCAGCTGAGATTTATAGACGAAGGGGTGAACTTGAATCTCTTTAGCGGCCGTATTGCAGACCCCTCCACTGCGCAGTAGACGGAGCAAGCTAGGGCATGGACGGAAGGAGGGCGGAGGGGCATGAGTTGAGAGGAGAGATATTTTCATGAAGCGATGTACTCAGGGGAGGCAAAGATGCTTAATATTCTTGCAGGTTGACTTGCACGTTTTGTATAAACTGACGCGTGGTGCTCACAACGGGTCTGCACTCTCTCGACACAACGTCCCTCACAAATTTACTAAAGTTCGGAAGAAGTAGCTCTCTCTGGAGAAGACCACTGCTCCAGCCCATAGCCCCGCGTAAAGGGCTTGAGGCTAGGCGAACGTCTCCACCCCTTTTGTAAACGGACTGAAACTTAAAAAGAAAGCTGTTTGTGAACAGGGAAGTGTGTGTTTTCTTTTGACATCAAAAAGGGATGACCAGAGGCTAACGACTGATGTTTTTGGTTGAGATCAGCGCGAGGAGCTTGTATGCGGCATTATGTGTACAAGCCTGCCAGAGCGCGGCAACAACAGGTAGTGCTCAGGTTCGAGTAGGCAGGGCTTCCCGCGAGGGTTGGGGGTACAACAGCTGCCATGCCCGATGAGGTAGTGTTTATTGTCGTGCCAATAGAGGAGATAGCAGGTTTGTCCTGGTCTGTTGCATCTCCCCTCCTTCAAACGGGAAGACATAAATTTTCTGGTCGACACACTGCGCATAACGAATAGGGGTTACATTTAGATGCGCGTTGAGATGGCTTATGGCCCGCATTCTCTTCTCTAGGGGCCGGTATCTTATCCCCTGGCATCCCCCACCTGTCGTCCCAGGGGCGTGTCCACGTGTAGAAGCACTGCTGACGAACTGTTCCCTCGGTAGTGGCTGCCTATCATCTTAGGGTTAGACCAGTCTCTCTCAACACTGTTGCGGCTGTAGTGCCACAAGCACGAGCGACGAAACGAGCCAAGCCATCAAATGCCCTTTCGGCTGGGAATCTTTGGCACTGCATTTTTCCCTATCTCGCTGGCTGTTGACTCGCTCGCTGTTCATTATGCGGAATCCTACACGTCAGTGCACACATAGTTGGTGTGTTGCACGGGGTCCCTCTGCCTCTGGAAGATCGTGTACAGAAAACTCGAGATTAGGCGCAGTAAGATATTGTTGTCGTATTACTTTGCCGGTCACTCCTGTTTCCGTAGAGCTACTGTTCCACTTCGTACACACTGTAGCCGTGGCACACGGTCTCTCGCGCGCGCTTTCCCACACACTTGCACTCCCGTAGTTTTTTTTTAATTTCGCAGCCTGTTGGGCTTAGTTTGTCGTTCCTCCCAAGCACAGGGCCCATGATCTTCATCTTTTGTCTGCGTACTTCCGTGTTGCCCCGCTGAGGACGGGTGCCTGCTCCTCGAAGGATACGACAATCGGTTTGAATGCCTTGAGCGGCTTGCGGCAGCTGAACGACGGTCTAAATACCGAGATGGTGAACGTGTAGGTCGGCTTAGAGACGAGAATGGAGGTTTCGGCTTTTCCCGCTGTTTTTTGCGATTGTTTGGAGCCGCTGACTCTTGAATAGTTGCGCATGTTTGCTAGAGTTTCCACTGTTATGTTGTCCCCTGTCTCGACTTCAATCTCCTCCGGCAGCAATACAAGCGAAGTATACCACGAGTCTGTCTCACCGTTACGGAACGTGCCAAAAAACTGTCCGGGATATATCTCGATCTGCAACAAAAAGGCGAAAGGTGAACGCAAAACGAACAACGCAGCCCATCAAACCGGCTCCTAGCGTGCCCGTATGCTTGCCTGCTCAGGATTTTTGCTGCTCCCTGCTTACCTTGATGACGACTAGCAACCCTGCCATATGTCCCGGTTTGTGGATGACAAAGCTGAGGGTTTTGCGTTGTTCCATTTGCTTGGCCATCGGCTCTTGAAACTTGAGTGTCTCGAATGGCTGGAAGCCTTCGCTGAGAAGTAGATGCGTTGTGTTAAGGCGAACAGACTGGAGCAGGATGCGGCGGGGGGAGAGTATGCTACGACCCTGAGGAGTGAGAAGGAGAAAGAAACGAATCAGCAGAAGGATGCCAGATAGTCACACAGCGCGATCACCTTAGGGCCGTAGTTATGTTGTTTGTTGCCCGCGTTCTTTTAGTTTTAAAGGAGCTTTACACAAAAAGCAAGCCAACAGACGCTCGTAAACTTTACAGTCGTAATACTTTTTTCAACGTAAACACGTGGTCAAAGAATTTTAGAAGAAGACCACTTCTCCTTTGCACATCCGTTGCTCCCCATTGCAAGTACTCCCTGCCCTCTCGAGGAAGCCTTTACAATCGGCAGAAGCCCATGAAATGAGGGACTTGATATTACAAAGGATTATAGGTAGTCATTCTTGTTGCGAAGCTGTTGCATAGAACACCGCTTGGCTCATGATCACAGTAGAGGTAGGTGCATGTTTTTCGTATGGTCTAGAGCCCATCTGCACTGAGGTCCATGTGCGCAGAGGATTCTTTATCCCGAAAAACTGAATTGCCACGAAGAGTATATGTATCTCGAAAGATCGTGGCTCAGGCCGCACCGTTTCAACGTAGTGTCATGCGTCATGATGATGATGCACACTGAGAACTTGCTCTAATGAGGATTCCTAAATTCTGTATTAGAAACTAAACTTTTCTCAGTTCCCAAATCCCATGCTACCGATCTCCCCGTTCATTAGCGTTCTTACCTCGTAAGAGTGCGCAGGATACAAGAAATGCTCCGGCTCCGGCAGACTGGCCGGGCAGATAAGCGTCTCGGCCCCAAAAGGGATACTCAACGGGAGGCAGCCTGTCCTCTCCTGGATATCGGAAACCGCATCGGCGACACCTGTTGAGAATCATGCGGCGCGGATCACACAAACAAACACACAAACACGCACACGCACACACACACAGTTGTGGCAACAAGTACAGAGGGGCCAGCAGAGGCTCATAAGAAGGGTGCAATACAACTAGAAGAAGAACTAAATAGCTGTGTATGTATCTGTCTGGGTCTATGCACATAGGCCCCTCGCCACGCCGCCTCAGACCATCGATTTTCGTATTCGACGGCACAACACACAGGATCGGCTGTATTAAGTGCGCCCGCAGCCCGCCCTCCGGACCTTCCTGAGAAGCAAAGTCGCCTATGATCTCGTGAATGATAATTTGTGGATCTTTGAAAACTTCCGTTGGGATCCGCTTCGAGTACCCGTGGATGACATCAATCTTTTGGCTCATTCCAATTGCCTCGACGAACTTCTTAGCCCGCGAGTGGGAAGGCCGCGAAGCTTCCAGTGCCACAACATGGGCTGCGCCGGCAGCTACTGCATTCACGGAGAGCAGAGAAAAAGGGCCCGTTCCGATTTCCAGCACGCGGCGCCCCTCAACAAGCTTGCGGCGAGCACTCGACGGATCCCCGGTCCAGTTCATTGCCTGCGGAGGGGACGTAGTCGAGACACCACACGCAGGGGAAGCGGCATAACCAAGAACGAAATTCCAACGATGCTTGCAAGCACAAGGGTGACAAGCGCGCATACTCTTCCACAAGGGCAGGTCGCTGCAGCATGCACCCTGCGACCCACTGCAGTATATACACCCTTGGAGCCCCCTCTCCCGCTTTTTTGCGTGCGTCATCCTCTCCTTCTTCTGCTAGCCCGATCGTCTTACTTTTCTGTAGTAGGAGACTCTGTCGCTGTCTTGCATCATAGCCAGGTGGTTTTCCTCCGCAAACTGGCCACAGATGCTGAGTGTGTGGACCTCCTCGCTTTCATTGACTTTTGTAGTGGCAACGATTCCCATCTTCAGCAGGAGATCCAGTTTCTCCCTCAAACTCCATTTTGGAGCGTAAGAAGACGTTCTCCGGCTTTTCAGGGGCACAGAAGGAATTAGGCAACGCAACTCCCGGTGTACGCGAGGAACAACAGATTCAACGCCTGTCTCATCTCCCTTCCTACTGCTGTTTCCGCCATTAGAGTGATTGCCGCTCGATGCGCGCTGCAGTTTCGTGGGTCTTTGATCCTTTTCCTTTCCGAAAAGGCGCTTGGAGCTCTGCTCAAGACCCCCACTTTCCGTATTGTTGCTGTTGCCAACGTTCTCTTTGCTGCACTCGGAATCGGAAACCTCGCACTCCCTTTTCCTTGAGTCTATTCCGCTGCTTCTCTTTCGAGAAGATTCCACGCGGCTGGACGCGGGTGGCGTGCAGTCAGGCGCACAGCAGGGCGTATCAGGGGTCCCCAAGTCCCTTAGGCCCCCTGGGGGGCCCCTACGGGGGCCCATTGAAGTTTCCTTGTTTCGTTTGTAGAAGGCGGCTTCCCGACTCCGACGCTCAGACGACCACGAAGCACCCGCCATAATTCCTCCATAAATGCAGCTTGGCGCCCGGATCAGCCACAGACACAACGCAGGCAAAGAAGAAACTTGAAAGCGCGTTCCAGGGAAGCAGAGAAAGGCAGGCTGAAGAGGTGCAAGCGGAGCGCTACGAAGCCGGATAAATGCGACTCTTCAAAGCGAGATACGTGTGGTTGTAGCATAAAGCATAGACCTGGATGGGATCAGGAAGGAGTGCTCGTCTTGAGGGGCCCTGCCATCCTTCCCTGTGCCGTCTGCGCTGTTACAGCCGCCCCTACGGGCTTGTGAAGTACACAAACTCCATCTAAGACCCTCCCCGCTTAATAAAACCGACTGTCAGGATTTGTTGGGCGAGCCAGGACAAGCAGCCCTGGGGGCTGTAGCGCCGGAGGGGTTGTTTTTGTACTTCGGCTTTAGGGCTATTATTGCTTGTGGGACTGGGCACTTCTGTTCGTTCGGTGGCGCGAACCGATTATTAATTTGCATCGCCCGAGAGACCACGTCAATTAAATATTGTATGAAATTTAGCCGTTTTTATTCATGCTCAAGAGCAGCAAACCATCACTCGTGCTACGGATAGGCGGGCGCTGTTGCAACGACGCATCACCATCTGTCTTGTTTGTCTCGCTGCTGCACTCTTATTCTACCTCAAAAGAGAAATAGGGATTAGTTTTTTCTCCTTCTCTTATGTGATCGTGCGAGGCTTGCATTTGATTTCCACTAGCCGCAAATTCTCGTGCGGATCTGCTTTCAGCAGTCTGCGACTTCAGTGTTGCAAACTGGAGGGGCAATACCGTACACCAGGCGCTCCTTAGGCAAAGAGGAACAGGAATTTCTCTTTCCTCATCGTTTCGTAATCCAGTTTCTGTTTAAGCTACCATTGTATGTTTGTTTAGGGTCATGAGGTGCTGCAATTGAGTTTTCCCCGGTATCAGCGTTATGTCCACCTCTGAGTTGCCTTCATCTGCGACTGGTTCGCACCTTAGTGATATCGAGCCGCCTTGATACTTCTTACTGGAGTGTAAATGTAAGCCAGACACCAAGAGGGGGGCAGATGGCCTGGTGTCGCCAATCGTAGCTTTGGAACGCCCGTTTGTAAGGCTCCATCCGTAACCCCAAGCAGACACTCGCTTTTCCTTTTCATCCCAACCTCGATGAACCTGAGGACGGATATTTGAGTGTTGTTTCCTCCCCTTTCTCTCCAGTCACGCTGTCCATGCTGCGGGTCGCGCCCTAACTCTGGTACTTGCAGCCATTACGCTTATGACAGCTCATTTTCGTCGTTTTGTGCTTATCTTGTTGCTTTCCGTCCTCTTGATCTCAGTGCTGGTGCAAATCTCCTCCCATTGCCGCAGAAAAGCATGGTAGTGTTTGAAAGGGTAGCTTTCTTCATTTTCAAGTCGATGCTTTTCCTTTTAATTCTCCCCCATTCGAGGGTTTACTGCCTAAGGATAGAGGGTGGTACAGGAGAGCAAAGTGACGGAGGCAGTAAAACTGCTAACCTTAGCGCTAGTGCCAGCACCATGCCACCTAGCAGGCGGGATCACCTCAGTGTTTCTCTCTGTGATAGTTTCTACCTTCAAGAAAGGGGCCAGCGACTGCCGCAAAACCCAGAAATTCGCAGAAAGCGTTGCGCCGCCACATTGCACACATCAAAAAGCACAACGATGGAAACAAGAAAAGAGCCGAAAACCGATAGCGGAGCAGAAGAGGGTTTTAACGGCCCATTCAAAACCAGAAGGAGATTCAGAGAGGCGAGCAACCAATGCCATGCAGTCAAGCGGTACAGGGCACTGCCCCGCCTCCAGGCCCTTTAGTTCTCTCCCTTGCTTCGCCAATCCGCTACAATGTAGCGGAGATTCGTCGACTCCAGTATATTGTGTCTTAGGGGTACCCTGCCTATGTCCTGCTGCATGTAGGAGTTAGCTGAGCTTCAAGCAGAGGGGGCACGGACGAGGGAAACGTACCGACTCCTTGTCTCCTGGCACCCCGAATGTCTCCAGACACTCCAGAAAAAAGTCCCCTCTGCAATCCAAGGGCTTTGCAGCAGGGAGACAGTCCCGATGCAGCTCTTCGAGAACCCGAACACACATAGAGAAGGAGGAAGCGAAAGGCACGGAGGGATCCTTAAAGGAGACAGGGCTTCCTGGGAGAGCAGCGTGCTGCTTCGCGGCGGAGTATACATGGAAGACCGCGTGGGATTTGCTGAACTGGAGCAAGCGGCGGCTCGAGAGGCCTTAGAAGGTCGGTACCTTGCTCTCTGGTTGTTTACTAGGGCCCTGGGACTGCACGCGAAATTGGGGCTTAGTCTTTCTGGGTGTCTGGGTAACTGCCGAGACAAACTAAGGGAGAAATTCCAAAGAGCCCCTCCGATGGTGGCTGCCTACTATGGAACCCTCAGCACAGATATACTGCGCATCAACAAATCGGGTGGACAGACACATGTGAGTAGTGCTGCTGCCCCTTCTTTCCTTCTGGCCACCGTTGCTCTAACTACCAACAGCCGCTCTTGGATTAAGGGCTTCTCCATCCTGAGACGCCGCTGATTTAAAGCAATGCCTGATGTGTCTTCTGTCCCTCTGGAACCTCTGCGTATCGTTTTACAGTTACTCGAGACTTGGTAGCGCTTTCTTCGCGTCGCGTGCAGCAGCGATTATAGCAAAAGAACCATGCAAACCCGCCTCTGTGCACCTAGATCTGCCTCTCATGTTTTATGTGTTCGTGCTTTCCTCAGTCAGATCTGCGGCCTTCTAAATTTTTGTCGACTCTAAGGGAAGTAGCCGAATCTCTATCTGGGAGCCCAAACGCGGAGACTGGGGCCCTTGGGGTCGTTCTTTCAGAGGCACTGGCGTGCGTCAGCACGGTGTCTCTAGACCGCAAGCTAGAACTACAGATGTTGCAGCCTCTAAGTGAGGTTCCCGATGTGGCACAGTCAAATCCTGTTAGGAAAAACACGGAGCGACTGGCGTTTAGCGACCAGCACGCGACGGGGGATGCCGTGGAAAGAAACAATGCAAAGGACAGCTCGCAACCTGAGATCTTCAGGACTCCCTCCGGATTGCTCGGCGATCCATTCCAAATGCGACAGTGGTATTTGCACTCCTTCTTTGGGAATTTCACTGTTGCCGCTGAGAAAGCATGGCAAAAGCTCGAGGCAATTGAGAGCTGTGCGGCGAACGACTCTGAGCTAATGCCAGATGAAGTTAACAGAGGGGCACCATAAAAGCCACACGCGATCTGGTGTATTTGGGAGGCCGTTCGAGCGGAAAGGGAGGGAAGGGGAAGGGTAGGGGCTTCGGGCTGTGCGAACTGAGGGATGGGCTTTGCGAGGGCTAAGGTTTTTTTCCTGTCATGGGGCACATGAGGGGGGAAGCATATGGCACCACTTCTTTTGCTGTGAGCTCCTGTGCCGCTACATCGAAGTTCTACCGCCTTCGCATCCTTCCCCCTCCTTTCTCCCCGTTCCCTGCCGATGGACAGTGCCCTGTGGTGTTTGCGATTTTTGTGTGAGCAGTGAACGCCTCGCCGGTTGTGCTGGCGGTGCTGGATACGGGGTGCTACCTGCACCAGGACTTCATTGACGGCTTTGACATCGCAAACAGCATTTTCTGGGATAATGACGGGGAGACAGACTGCAACGATGGAGTTGATAACGATGGAAACGGCTATGTAGACGACTGCTTTGGCTGGGTAAGACACGCCACCGGCAGAGGCGTTAATGTCGTGGATCGTCTCACGGGCCAGGATCGCTGAGCAGCCAGAGGCCAAATAGTTGTGTGGAAGCGCCAGTGCAATGCTTTGGCAGCGTCGTTCCATGCGATAGCACCTATTCGTGCATAAGATAGCAATTGAAGGGCAGACAGACAGCAAAATCTGCTAGACGACGTGTGCCGGGTGGCTCGTGCTGTCAGTTTTGTGTCCCTTGTATATGAGGCTTTCCTCTCCGATCTAATGCACAGCTCGTCATTTCTCCGATCTAATGGGCAGTTTGCCGATGTTCTTCGATAGAATGAGCAGCTTGTCGGTTTTCTCCGATAGAATGTGCAGCTTGTCGGTTTTCTCCGACAGAATGTGCAGCTTGTCAGTTTTCTCCGATAGAATGTGCAGCTTGCCTATGCTCTCCTCTAGGCGTGCTTCTACTGTTTTTGACGTACTGTGCTGTTGCTCTCTCCCGAGTTGCGCTCTCAAATGCTCGTTTTGCCTCGGTTACAAATGTGCCGCCGGCTGCTCTCCTGCGGAGTTCTCATGCCGGTTCGTCTTCTCCAGAATTTCGTAGAGGACAACGGCTACCCTTTTACAGATGACGCAGGACATGGCACTTTGGTGACTTCAGTGGCAGCGGCGCGAGCGCATGATGGACGTGGGGGGCGGGGGATCCACCCTCACCCCAAAGTCATGTGTCTCCGGGTGGGCAGCAAAAATGGAGTGTGGACATCCGCCACCATTCCTGCCTTGGATTACGCCGTTAAAATGAAGGCGAACGTTTCCAATCACTCATACGGCGGGCCTGGGTGAGATGCGCAGGGCGTGCGCAGCGCGCCTGGGGCTTAAGAGATATATTAAGTCGTGCTCGCGTCCAGGGGTCTTCGACACACTGCGTTCCCAATAAGCCTGATCGTATGGCCTCCTTCTTCCTTGCAAGAAGCATGTAGCCTCTGTGGCAATGCTTTGCTGCTGCCTCACTAAGTCCAATGCGCCTTCTCTTCCCCCTATTTTCATTCTCCGTGTCTGTCGTGTGTCTTTTAGATTCGTGGCGGCAGAGTATGAGGCCTTCCACCGAGCTCTGAGATACGAGCACTTGGCGGTCACTGCTGCGGGCAATGCTGCCTGCGATATCGACGAAAATGAGAGCTGCTAGTGCGTGAAACTTGCTCAAACACCTAGTGGACGGCGGTCGGGGGGGAGCCTCGAAGGGATCGGTCGATTCCGAATGCTGGCCCTGTCTGCGTGCGCGCGCGTATCGCTCCTCGTGTGCCTTTGCTAGGAGTGCGCCTGCCCGCATGCGGGCAGAGGTGATATTGCTAGCCTCGAAGCTGCTTGCCCCCTTTTTAGCAGGAATTCCAGTCTTCTTGGCGCTCCTTATTTGATCATCTGTTGTGGTACTCTTGAACTGGGCATCTCCCCTTCTTTTTGCATGTTCTTCTGCCCTTCTTTTTGTAGCTGCCCCGGCCTTTCATCATTGCCATTCGTCCTCCTTTTGAGGCTGAATTCTTCGACGCTGCCTTCCCGCACCCCTCTTCCCTTTCCACGCGGCGTGCGTCTGTATCCGCTTGTCGCACGCTGCTGCGCACACTGCAGACCGGACTCTCCCTTGTGCCTTTGCTTCTAGCTTTACGCCGGGAGCCTTCCGCCTTCGCGGCTTGATCAACGTAATGGCCAGCGACATTTCCGGGTTTAGGGCCTCTTTTTCTAACTACGGAATGAAGGGCGTCGACGTTGCTGCCCCAGGAACCTTGCTTTACGCAGGCACGAACTACAGGGCTAACTCCGGCAGCAGAAAATGTACTTCTTGTAAGTACACGCGGCACGGCTGCACTTTGGTTGCGCTGACTTTTGTGCATCCTTAAAGTAAATTGCTTCCTCTCGACTTGGGGGAGGGGGGTGTGCGAACTTCGCGGCGCGTGAGAGAGAGAGACACTCTTCGAGGGCACAGAGGGCGGGGGGCGAGGATGAAGCTTGGAAACACAAAAAAGCCTGAAGCACATGCCAAGCAACTCACAGGCACTAGAAGCTAGCGTTGTGGAAGAGGCTTCCCGACCGACGCTTAGACACAGCCTTCTCGAATGAAGCAACAACAAAAAGAAGAGCAAACACCAAAGAAACTTCAGACACACCGATCTTTAGGAGCTTATATGAAGGCGCCCCCTTTCTAAAACTGCCTTTGCAAAAGCGTCTCTAGATATATATATATATATATATTATATGTATCAGTGGGACGTCTCTCTGGGTAGAGAGCTGTACATGGGCTTCAAAGGCAGGGAGGGACCTTACAAGTTGCTGTCGCATATGCATGCATGCCTTCTGAGATGCAAAGCAGAGCTCCTGCCCAGTTGGAAGCCCTTCTTGCCTGAATTGCTGTGTGTGTGTGTGTGTGTGTGTGTATGTTGGTGTGTGTGTGTGTGTGTGTGTATGTTGGTGTGTGTGTGTGTTGGTGTGCATGTTTCCTGCTGGTGTCTCTAGGCTACACGTACTGCGATGGCACATCTTTTGCGGCTCCCATAGTCTCGGGGATGGCTGCTGCCCTGTGGCACTATTTCGAGGCTGTGAACCCTCCTGGCTGGCAGCACTCCACAGAGCGTCCTAGCAGAAAAGTAGAAAAGGCCATCATGTACTCAGTCACGGGCTCAAAAGCGCTGGCAGGTGAGCAGACTCTGGTAGCTCGGAGAAAGCGAAGCGAAGCAACCCGAAGTGGATAGCTGCGGCCTAGCCGAATATAGAGAGACACGGGGAGTGGTGCCTTTTTACAGAGCTTCATTTGAGTGTACGAACAGGGGGGAGGGAACGGGGGGCGGGGGAGGTGGATAAGCAAAGGGAGAGCGTGGGTCTGGACGCGAAGCCGACAGCGAAAAATTCTGGCAGCGCTTACGAACTCGCCTCTATCGTTGCCTACAGGGGCCCTCGGCACGAATGGCGTTGTGAATATGTGGCGTGCCATGAGTTACTATGATAAGATACCGGGGCCTTTTGTTCCGGAGTACCAGATGCCTGAGCGTGGCTACGATCCACTGTACAGCGGGGGGGACGGCGGAGAAGGGCCTTCTTACGGGGATCGCTCGATCCCGCTATTTGTCTCGGTGTGCCTAGGAGCTGCTCTTGTGGTCAGTGCCTATGCGCTCTGACCCTCAAAGAAGGGTTTCTCCTGCTTTGAGCTCGCCATGAGGAGAGCGAACGGGGTGGAGGGAAGGGGCAAGAGCCAGACAGCAATAGAATCCCAACAGTTGCGTAGTCCGCCCTGGAAGCGAGCAGGCAGAGAGGAGGTATTGGTGGAGGCGGAGAAGGCAGAGCCGCGCTCCCTCCCCCATCCTCAGTGTGTTTTTGCATGCCCTCTTTCCGTGGCAGCTCATCTAGGGCTCACTGAGGCGAAAAACCCTTAAACAACTTCTCTCCCACGCCACACGGTATTTTTTTAAACTCCGCCGACTGGCGTGGGAAAGTGCAAAATCCCTGCACCCGCGTGTCGCAAGGAGCAATGCACACCCCGGTGGAGGTTTGCAGACTTTATTCATGCATGTAGATATGTTGTTCCCTCCCTGTTGAAGGACATGTATGTCCTCAAACAAAGGCTCCTAATCAGAGATCCAGAGAACACGCGTGATGCGAGTCAAACACAAACAGCGAATGGTACCAATATCCTAGGAGAAATTTGCCAGATGCTAAGTGCGCGTCAACAGATGGCCTACAGGGGGAGAAGAAGCCTCCCGCGCCTTCCCTCTGCGCCCCCAAAGCCAACACCGCGCGTGAAATGTATACACACATTCGGCACGCGGATGGAGATACACGTACTCTGGGCACACACAAATATGTGATATATATATATATATCTTCCGAGGCCCTGCTGCCCCACAGAAGCCAAATTGAAATCCATACACAGACAGGGAAAGGCCTATGGATGTCTGCCCACAGCCAGCCGCCTCTTCCGCCATCGTCGACTTGTCGGCAGCCGCTCGAGGCTCCTCTCCTCTTTTCCGGTCGAGCACTAGAGACTGGAAATATTTGGAGAAGGCGCGGCCTGTGAGTAACGATAGGAGCGGTAGAGGGCTAAAATGCGGGTAGGAGAAGGCGGAAGTTTCCGGAGTCTGCGATATATCAGCCGCCCTTCACTGCCGCGAGGAAGGAGGGGCCGCCTTCCATATGAAGGCGCGTACTGCTCCGGTACAGCCAAAACAACAAACGGAAGAAGATACCAAAATCAAGACAAAAGCAATTAAACACGGCTTGCCCACACCACTCCCACGAATGCCAAAGCCGCAGACTTGCGGCTGTGCTCTGCAAAAAGCATCGACTGGTGCCGACCCCTCGATCTTGTCCAGTCAAAAGCACTCCCTTGGCTAACTTCCCCCACGCATGCAGCGCGCACAAACGAAGAAATAAAACCAGAGAGGACGAGAAGAGGAGACAGATAGAGATATATATGTATATATATATATATATTTAGAACGAGAGCTAGCGCGATCGCCAGAGAGACAGCGAGAACGAGCATAGGGAAAAAAAGATCCCTCCCCTCTTCTTCGTCTCGTGTTCGTATTTAGCGCTGGACGAGGCAGCATAGCGCGACTGCCTTTCCCTCTCTTTCCTCTCACTTTTCCCTCTTTCATTTCCCTCTTTCATTTCCCTCTTTCATTTCCCTCTATACTGCTTCTTGTACATCATCTCACATACCCTCCCGTGCACCCGCCACGCGACCCCTCCTGGGGAGAGGCTGCCGATCTACTCCAAAAGCCTGAGACGACGCACCAGCCGAAGCCTCCTTACTGCTGCTACCACCACTTGTCTGCAGAGCAAGAAAAGGAACGATTGACTGCGCCGCCGCTCGCAGCTCTGCTGGGCCTGGAGGAGGCGCCCTCTCATCTAACCACTTGGCAAGAACAGGATTGCGTCTTGCTTTGTGCAAAAGCTGTGCAAGCCGCTCCATTTCGTCGCTGTACGCAGCAGACGCCACGACCGTGGAGAGATTCGGATCGGGAGGAAGGGAGGCAAGCAGCAGCGACTCCCGCTGATTCTCATTCGCTCCAAAGAGAGAGAAGGCAGACTCTGGCTCTTGCACGCCTGTTGCTCCCCCCCCCAAGTTCGTGGTCGTGTGAGAGGCGGCTGCAACGGCGTTGCGTTTAGGGCGTCCTTTAGATCCCGCTGTCGTCGCACATCTCTGCGACGCGACACTCCCGCTTTCCGAACTTGCAACAGCAGGCACACCTGCACCTGCAGCACCTGCAGCACCTGCAGCAGCAGCGGGAGGGGGGCCCCCCCCCCTCGAGACAGTCGCCCGCCGCGTCGAGGAGCCCTCTGCAGACGCTGGAACGGCAGCCGCTGCCGACAGGCAAGAATTGCTGCTGGCTTTCAAGCCGTTAGCCTCTTGATTTCGTCTGTCTCGCAGCCTCTTCGCCACTGCAGCCGCAAGTGTATGGGCACCTTGCTCGCCGTATTTCACAACGGAGAAGCACCGTCTGTGCCAGCGGCCAGCCGTTCCAACGCCCTCCCTCCACTTGCACACCCACCGCTGCTGCGTTCGCTCATACTGCAGAGACACGACGCGCGCCATGGGCGTCTCTTCGAAGGTGAAGTCGCCCTCCTCAAGCTCGCGAAGTGCCGCTGCAGCTGCAGCGCTGCTGATCAAATCCCCCGAGTACACATTTCCCTTCGAGTTCAGCGAACACGCCAACGCTGCGGGAGGAGTTGACGACGACGACGACGACGACGACGAGGCTGTTGCGGATCGCGGAGAGGAATGAGAACGTGCAGCCTTTGAAGTCTGCGGCAGGGGGAGCCTCTCTTCCGATGCTCTCGACATCTCGTGCTCGTTCGAAGACGCAGCCACAGAAGAGGACCTCTCGCAGGAGCTTTGACTGCCCTCGCTCCCCCCCTGCCTCATCAACGCATAGTCCTCCGTGCTGGAAAGGGAGGCGCTCTGCTGGCTGCTTGAAGCTGCCAAGCCTCCTCCTCCGCTGGCAAGACACCTGGGTGGAAAAAGAAGGCGTGCTCCCTCCTCCGCAACGCTGCCGTCAAGCCCTTCAGCGGCAGAGCCTGGAAGAGGCGCACTCGCCGCAATCTGCAACAATTCGCTCGCCAACTCCGTACAATGCACCGCCTTTATAAGCAACGGCCCCAACGTCTTGATCGTAACCTCCTCTAAAGCCGCCGATTGAGATCTCCTGAGGCGCATGCTTCAGACAGCAGCGCGATGCAATACACTCACGCGGCACTTCCACCACACAGAAAGACGCAACTAAGGGGTCTTATGCAAACATACATACATACATGTATATACATATATGCATACATATATATATATACACATATATAAACATACACAGATATATATATATATATACGCGGACAGAGGTAAAGAGCCAGAAAAAACCAATAAAACCCCAAACACGCCGCTTCCTTCTCCTCACGCCACAAACAACACATGGGGGGCAGAGGAGGGCGGTGGAAGAAAAAACCATTCCAACACACACTTCTGTCTGCCCAAACACCTGCGCCTCTAATTGACGTACTTGAAGATGGCGATGGCGAGCTGCAACTGTTCCCTCCGCCTCTTATACACACTTCGCCGATCAACTTCTAGAGCCTCAAGCACTACCCGCTGAAACACAGGGACCTGCAGCAGACATACACAGGGTAGGAAACACAAGCAGCGAGAACTAGAGAAAGCGAGACACAAAAGCTGCTGCTGCTGCGCCTACTACACCTATCACCCTGAGGCGCATGCTTGTGTGTGACAAAAGCGGCAGGCATGAGCGCAGCAGCAAGAGACAACATCCAGCTCGATGAGAACGGCCACACAGCAGAAACTTCAGGCGAGACACAAACACAACGAAACACATACAATACGCTGCATGCATCCAAGGGGATAGCTGGTCTGGAGCTTGCCGAGACACAAACACAACGAAACACATACAATACACTGCATGCATCCAAGGAGATAGCTGGTCTGGAGCTTGCCGAGACACAAACACAACGAAACACATACAATACACTGCATGCATCCAAGGGGATAGCTGGTATGGAGCTTGCAGAACCCCCAACATACCTGCAAGCACTCGAAGACGATGACGAAGTTCGCAGCCGTTGAAATCGCGTCACACCGTCCACAGGCTCTCTGTAAACAAAAATCCAAGGCATCCAGACAGACGCAGCCATATTTGCACCCTACAAACAAGCCTCTCCTTCTTCCTCGTGACTCTTCAAAGCTCCCATCTTTCCCCCTTCCCCCATATCCAGCAATTGTCTTTATACATAAATACATAAATACATATATGTCTCCTTTCTGTCTCTCTTTATCTCTCGCTCCCAATGCGCATGTACCACCGACCCTCTCCCTCTCCCTCCCCGTCCCCCTCCCCTCTCTCCCCCCCCACACAAATATATACATAGATAGATCGCTTAATCGCAAGAATTGCCACGTAACGACGCATCCGACACACGCAGCAGCAACGACCTCCCCCCGCCACCCCCCCTACTAAACACACCCAGTGTTCATCTAAAGGATCTTCGAGAGGCACGACAGCTTGCTGCGCCTCAGCAGCCGTCTGCGTTTCTACGTCTGCACTATCCCCGCCCCTACTGCTGCTGCTGCCGCTGCCTGCCGAGACTGCAGGCAAGGAGAAGGAGCCGCGCTTCGCTGCGGCAGCAAATGCAGCAGCCGTCAGCTGCTGCAGAAATCCCACACATTTGACCACTAGCGCGGACTGCTCGCACAGCTGCTGAAGAGCAACCTTCCGCTGCTTCTGCAGCCAGATCGAGTGATCTAGCTTGATGCGTTGTGCATTAGGCAAGAGCCGCAACAGCCTCAAGACACACTCATGCTGCTGGATCTGCGCATCCAAGGCGGCTCCATCCATGCCTTCCTCCGACACTACAGCCTCCTCACAAGTCTCTGCAGGATTCTGTCTCGAGCTGCTGCGCGAGGCGGAATTCGCGGCAGCACTGCTACGCTTTCCAGGGGCAGTGAGAGCTGCAGCTGCAGCAAGTTTCTTTTGAATCGCTCCCTCAAGACTAAGAGTAAACACCTCGCCGTTCGCACTGTCTGCTGCTGCAGCCACCGGAGGCTGAGCCCACGCCTCGTCCTCGAGTGTGTGCTGCGTCTTCTTCGCGCCGTCACAGTCCAAGTCGAATTGCTGCAAAAAGGCATCGACATCTGGAAGATCTTCAGTGGCATTCGCTGCAGATGCAGCCGCGGCAGCTGCCTCCGCCGCTGTTTCCTCCTGCTGCTGCTGCTGCAACAACAGCCGCAGAAGATCCTCATCATCTAGCTCCGCGAGACTTCCCCCCCCCTCTTTCTGACGCTGCAGAGAGCTGCTGCCTCCACTCCCGCCAGGCGTCTCTGCGCCTTCCTGCTGAAGCAGGCACTGCTTGTAAGCATCCTTCAAATGCTGCAGAAGCAGCAGCTCCTGCCGCTCCTGCTGCGTGAGCAGCAGCTTCAAGTGACTGCAGATGCGCCGCAAAGCATTCGACGCAAGAGCCTCCGCATCGCGGTGTCTGGGCAGACACCGCAGCTGCAGCTTGCCACACACTTTAACAACCCATCGGCTGATGCAGCGGCAACGCTGCCTCCCCTTAGTTCCCTGCCGGCGCTCTAGCTGCGCAGTAATATCGTTCAAACTCATATCGTCCCCCTGCTGCCTCGCGATTATGTAGCAGCACGCGCCCACCAGCTTCTCAAGCTCCTGCGGATCTCGAACTTGCTTGCTGCTGCAGGAAAAAAAACGGTGCAGCAGCTGCAACACTCCTGGGCGTCGTGCGCCTCTAAATCGAAGCACAATTTGAGACGCCAAGTCTAGCGTCCTTCTCTGCTGCAGCTCCCTCCGCTGTCTCTCCTTCATAGGATCTGCAGCGCGGCTCACACTTTTACGAAAAGAAGCACCCTCTGCCTTCACGGGGGCAGACTGCGTGCCACTACTGCCGCCTGGAGAGGCCGTTCCCCCCACAGGGGGAACGGCTTCTCCAGCGTTCCAAAGCGAGTCAACTCCAGGATCGTCATCGCGTCGACTTCCCAGGAGATCCTCGGATGAAGAGGCACCCCCCCCCGACAAGGGCAGATCGAACAAGCCCAGGTATCCAGAGCTGCTTGACGCCGAAGCGCCCTCTGCGACAGGCGCCGTCGCTTCTTTCTGCTTGGAGCTGTGGATCAAACGATCCAGCGCTCTGTTGCATGCATCCCAGTCGAGGGAGGCGCTAGCTGTAGGCAGTCCCCCCCCCCCTAAGGATCCCGACGAGGAAAGATCAGCCGCGTCATCTGGCAGGAACGACACCGCAGCAGGCAGCACCTGAGACAGCTGTTGCAGCAAGCGCCAACGCTCCTCCTCGCCTCCTGTTGCGTCTTCTGTGGCACCTGCATCTCCGCCACTGCCTACACCTCGAACTCGCTTCGAAGGAGGTCCCCTCCCTCCCTCGCTCACTAAATCCCCTCCGCTCCCACCAGATCTCTGCACCCTCCGTAAGCGCCGCGCAGCTCCCATGCCGCCTTCCGTCTGCTCTGACAAGGCGAACTTCTTGGGAAGGGCCACAGGATCGATCTCCTCAAAAAAAGAAGCAGAAAGAGCAGCCTCCATGGTGGCAAAGGCTTCTGCCTTTCTTCCTCGTAAGCCTCCTTGCACGACCGCTTCAGGGATCTGGAAGCGCGGGTGTAGACTCGAGGGTGTATGTATATGTATATATATGTATATGTATGTATACGTATATGTACATATATGTATATGTACATATATGTATATGTACGTATATGTATATGTACGTATATGTATATGTATATGTATGTATGCTGTCCAAGGCTTTCGTGCCACAGCAAATATGCGACGCGAAAAACCTCTTAAATATCCCTCGAGCTTTCGCCCAGCTTTTAGCCAGCACTTCTGCTGCTGTACTACCACCAACAGGGCCGGTGTGGTGTTTCCTAGGGGGTGGGGTTGAAGAGGGTCGGTGATGCGGGGAGAGAGAGAGAGCAGTCGCCAATGGGCAGTGCAGACTGGGGAATGCAACCAGTTTTGGGGTGGGGGGTTTATTGAGATTGCCGACCCCTTGCGGCTGCCTGTGGTGCTTGAACCACTGCTTCTGCTGTTGTGTTGCTTCCTGGCTTCCGCTGCTTACACGCCGCAATCTCCGCTACGCTGCCTGTGTCTCGGCACGGCTGCGGATAGAGGCTCTCCACAGTATTCCCCGGCGGGAGGAGGGAGTGTCGGTTAACAGGCCGAAGAGGAGGGGACGCAGAAACAGCGACACTGAGAGGCGATATACATGTATGTATATGCCTTAGCGAGATTCGCTTTGCTGCTTTCCTTGGCACCTCGGGGCAGGCGCACCAGGCACTCCCTCTGAGACCTTGCTGTCCGCCCGTGTTCCTTACGGAAGCTAGAAATAGCAAAAAAAGGACAAGATGAAAATACAAAGGGGCTTGTTGAAAGCCGGCTGGCCCCTAACCCCGGCAGCAGTGCCGCAAGGCAGCCGGAGCGTGTGGAGGGAGGGTCACTGCAGCGACAAAGGGTCTGCGGCGTCTGCCCCTCTTCCCTGTTGAGTCTTGAGAAACGAAAATAAGAAGAAAATAAAGCGAAAAGGGGAAGAAGAGGGAGCGGCTGCTGCCGGCAACAAGAAGAGAGGAGAGATCAGACTCTTGTGCAGGGGCCGCACAGCCTGAGGCTTACTACAGGGAGAGGCAGGTGTGATCTGCTTGCCAGAAGACAGGGAGGCCAAGAGGCGCAGGAGGAGGCAAGTTATGCGAAAATATCTATTGCTACCGCAGCAACAAATCGCCAGAACCTTGCGTTCTATCGGTCCGCGCCTTAGCTGGTTGTTGCCTTTAGCGGCGAGGAAAGAGAGCTGCTGCTGCCTGGTTTGCTGGATGCAGCAGATGCCTTGGGGGTAGAGCGAGCACGCCCCCCCTTAATCCCGCACGAAAGGTCTCAAAACAAGCCCTTATTGCTGGCTTCATGCAGCAGATTTCACCTCAGTTAGCTGGCGAGGTTACAGCAGCTGCAACCGTTGTGTTGCTGCTGCTGCTGCCGCTGCAGGGGGGGAGAGACCTAATCTCCAAGGAGCACTGCACTTTGGATGCCCGTTACGCGACTCCCTAACAGTCTCTCTCTCCGCCTCCTCCCCTCTCTTCTTTTATTGCATCAATCAAAGTAAAGAGAGAGCTGCTATAATACACGGCGCGAGAAAGAAACAGGCAGGCAGTGCCCACCAACAACTCCGAGGTCACGAAGCAGAAGGGACCCCCTCTGGGGGAGGGGGCTAATTGCCGTGCGGCTTGCGATGCTGCTTAACGCCAGCCTCGCTTCCATCTTTTTGAATACAACTCTTGTTTTGAAGGCTTTCGTGCCGACACACTGCCCCTTGCGCATCCTCTCAGCTCCTCATTGGGGAGGTTCCCCGCAACGCTCGTTCTTTGGCTGCCTCGGAGGAAGAGACCCCATTCCCCCGCACAACACATTGCCTATCCCCTCCCTAAGAAGACGCTTGTTGCCATGAGAGAGGGGGTTGACAGCTGATGCAGAAAAGTTTGCGGCGAGAGGGGAGCCTGCGACGGGCTCCCCGTGCAGCTCCGTAACTGAGCTAGCGGTTAAATAAAGAGAAAACTCTATTCCTTTGTGGAAGTAGCAGGGAATAGCCTGTTTCACAAAGCACCAACCGGCAGGGCACACGCCAAATAGCCCTCAGGTTCTCATAGAGGAGAGCACAGGGGGAAACACGGATGTGTGCAGGAAGGAGAGAGAGAAAGAGAGACAGGAAGTGTCTCTCTTTCTCTTTCTCTCCGCAGGGCTGCCGTGCCACGGGAAGCACTGACACTGCAGGCACGATCAAACACATACTTAAATGTTCGCTCTTAATTCACCACTCAAGGGTGTCATGTTAGTCGTCGGGAGCGCAAGCTCTGGAAATGAGCAAGACCTTGTAGAGAAAGACCTTCACCAGTACAATGCGCCGCATCGTACTTTGACACTCTCTGCAGCAGTTCGCACACTCAGCTAAGAATGAGGCAAATAATGCCGGATTGCTTTAAGTGGCTATACTTTGGTATGTAGTGCAGGGCAGGGTTGGTTAGCGCAATCATCCAGGAGCGAACGCTACGTACTTTCCCACGAAAAAATGCTAACCGAGTGCAAAAGCGTGGAGGGCTCTATGGGTTAACAGAGACTCCCTACTCTCTCCTGTGGTGCAGGTACCCTTTGCGACGAGGGAATGCAGAGTGTAACGCTCCATCGAAGGTCTCAGGAGAAAAGCACTTCATTCCAAATTCATACAAACCTGATCAAAAGCTCTTAAGTCTTTCCCAAGAAAATTCATGCCGTCCTAGGCAAAATTCCTCACAGTTCTCACAATGGGGAGGGAGAGGTATGGTACAGCTACGGGCAACCTAGCTGTCCCCTTAGAGGAACATGCACACCTAGTTGCAGATACAGCTTTTAAAACACATGCACACAACGTTGCGTCTTCTTGCATGGAAGGGACAATACTCTGCAGTAAATGAGATATACGAATAGCCACACCAATTAGTCAATTCCATACTAGCCCCTTGCTAAAGATAAGATATGCAGTAGAATGTGCCTGATTGTAGTGCAGCCCGGTACGCCTTATCTTTCCATGTACAAGTACACTCCCTCATGTTCCGTACGGTACCTCGACACCAACTGCAAGCAGGGGAGCGGATGAATTTCCGCTTATCGACAGAAACGCAAAAACAGCGCAGAGGAGGAAAGACAAGTGTGTTCGCAACCGGTGAAAAGAAATTGAAGGCGAGAGAGATACACACAGTATCCAACAGCCAACGGGGGACTACACCAACAAAACTTCGGCTGCGCGGTGGCTTTCCGTCGTCGAAGCGTTGAACTGTGAGGACCCTGATGCCAAAAGACTGAAGAGAAGTAAAACGTGTACAGGGCATCAGAATTTACACTATCTCTGCATTGTGTCCACGCCTCATGAAGCATTGTGAAGAAGCTCGAGGATTTCTGTCCATGAGGACTAGCATTGCTACCAAAGGGAGCTTCAACGTGCCCCGCCTGCGAGGAAGCCCACAGCGGCTCCTTTGTCAGCTCCTGATGCTGCCGTTTGCTACCTCATTTTACTAGAAACTCGAGTCGAGCGTATTGCTAGTGCTCAACAGTCGTCCAAACCAGAGGGTCTACAGCTGCCTGTGGATACTCCGACTCCACTTGGGTCACTTGTCTCCACGGCAAAGTTGGCACCTAATTCGTAGATTTTCAGTCTTTTGGCAACCCAATTTTGATTGCTCTACAAAACTTCTAACGTTTAGGCGAATCAACGGAGTAAGAAAGTGCATCGGCTGGTGGGAGTACGGCAAGTGATCACAGCCACCTGGCCACAAACTTCTTCGTTCGATGTACGTATCGTGCAGTTGGCAAGCCTTCCGAGCCACCAGGATCAGCCTTTCCTGCTTGGACTGCACAACGGACCACCGCTTATCATAATTCTGTGATTTTCTCTTTTAAGTGTTATGCATACATTCGCGTGCACTATCCATCTGTTCCCTCATATTCTCTCCTTCCAGAGGTGGGTGCTGATCTCGGCTCACCAACACTAGGCCCAAACCGAAGAGGGAGTCTTCAGTGTAGACCAAGGATGCAGGAGAGCAACGGATAGACAAGTGTACTCTTCTACTGTAAGCCTATTCAGCTCAGGGCAGAAAATCAAGCCTAGGAACTGGATTTTGTGAGTACAGCGCTGCGAAATACTGCGAAGCTGTGTGTTTGGTGCGCTCAGTCTGCCCAGCTGTTTCAAAGTAGTTCGGACTAGTCACATTGTGGTCAATGTGTAGAAGAGCCATCCAATATGCACTAGCAAACTGCGGGTACCTACCCCTTAGGATATTCCTGGTGAATTCATGAAGCTCCCAGACATGAGTTCAGAAAGATTAAAAATTTCCTGATCCGCGACCGAGTTGGTACAAGGGATGAAAAGGGTATAATTGCTGAATCGTCTAAAGCGACGCAGATGCTATTTTAACCCTTGCTCTAGGCCAGTCCAACAATTGAGGCCACAGTCAGATCAGTCCAAATCCCTTCAGGATTCGTTCGCTGCGGTGGGACGCATCCCAGGCCACCAAAAGGGATGTGAAAGCTAGTTCGCTCTGATATGAGTCTGACCATAAGCCAAAATAACAGGATATACGCTTTGCGAAAAGCGGTTTGGCAGAGCTAGGTTGTCATGTACAAGCGCTGTGTGCCGCGCTTCGTTTTGACCCACAGCATGCCAGCCTCAACGTCGTAGTGCTTCACCCTTTTGCCACTCAAAATTGTGGAAATAGTAGCGGATGGGCGTCAAAAGCAAACCTCAAATGCACCATTGACGGCGAAGCGTAAATTTTCACATACTTGCGAGGTTGTGCTTCACAAGAGCGAGTTGCTCGTGTGTTGCGAGAGCCTGTCGGTGACCTCTGAAGTCGTACTGCACGAGGCACCCAAGCCAGCTACCAACCTTAGGCTTAACAACAACCTGCAAAGGTTTATTAGAATAAGACAAGAGCTAACGGCTAGTCTGGACAGCAAAATGACGCCAATACAAGTAATCCTGGCTTTTTTTCACGCCCTACCTCACGGCATAGGGTCTCTCTGCCACCTTAGGTGCCGCTGCTCGCTTTCGATGAAGGAATGATAATACAAACAAGCAACTCGATTTTAAAGAACCCATAGTTTATTGGAAAAGACTAGAACCTTGGCTACGTCGCTAGCATCGGTCGATAGGAAGAAATAGAGCTTACACTGGGCGAGCCAGAGAAACCAGAGCGGTTCCAAGGCAGTTAATATGCAATCTTGCTATGGCATCAGCCTCCCCTGTCCAGCTCATACATTGTATTCTCTTTTCAAGCGTGGTCAAACAAGCGGCACGTAGAAAAAAATTCAGTCATAAATTTTCAGTGATAAGCTGCAAGCCCATATAACTTCGAACTGTCCTGGAGAGTGTGTATGGGTAAAGGCCATGTCTTGATTGCCTTAATTTTTGCAGGATCTGGCACAATTGCTGCAGTCAAAGGGCAGAAGCTTGCAATCTCGTCTGCTCATGAGAAATGGCTCGCATTCCCTTTATATTACTGCGTGTCCCGTGAAAGTCAGAGCGCACGCCAAAGGTGCTGTAGGTGGTCTCAAACGTTGCAGCTGATTACGGAGAGGCTTAACATGCTGACAACAATCGAACATTCCTTGGTAGGTGTATAGACTCCAGGAAAGCTGGGTGGTCCGCTCAGCTAGGGCATTAGCGAACTCAAACTGCACATAAGTACTCTCGAGCATGCGTGGGGTTCAGTTTTCTTGTTCATGTTCTTTGGCATTTGCATGCGGCCTGCAGCTCCGTAACGCATTCTCCAAACTTACCCAATAGGAGATCGTTGTTAGGGGGCCGCTTGAGGCTGCTTATAAACACGACTTTCCTTTAACTCGTCTTTGCTCGCCTTGGACTGCTGGCTGAGGCCATTCGACATAGTCAGGAGATCCATAGTTCCTGATTCTTGAATTGGTTTTTCATTGTCGGTCGAAGTCAAGCGGTGCGCTCAGATGCTTATGAAACCTAGTAGTCCATCATTCGTGAAAGACCCACTAGTCGGTTGTGAAATGGTTGAGTCGCTGAGTCACTGGCCATCATGTGACCACCTCACGCGACGCGCCGGGCAGACTTGACATAAACTCATAAAGCAAGTGTTCTACGTTCTAGCTTATGCGAACCAAAGCCTTTTATGTATTGATACTCCAATCTTCTGATAGATTGTCCTGAATAAGCCTTTTTAATACCCTGTAACCTTTGTTGCTGAGTGAATCTCGGCATACACCAGAGTCAATGCTTGATCGACGGAACAGACCGTGATAGTACCTACAGGCTGCCGGATTCCTCTGCATTGGTATGGTCACCACTAAAGTGCTTCCCTATCTAGTGTATATGCCCCTAGGAACACTTTCTTCTCATATAAGGAGGTGCAAAGTGAGGTACGTTCCCAGCCGGTTACTGAAGTCTTCGGCTACTTGCTCATCCTAACTGAGGTCATTCTTTTCTGGTCTATACCTCATCGATGCATCCATAAAACTATTTCAACTCATTTATGCCTTAAGTCGCGTGAAATAGCTGCATTCTGATCAAACAGCTTGATCAACACCGGACAACGGTTGCAGGAAAGCTACCGTCCCACTGCGTCCACAGTCAGTGAATGAGCAGGGAATAGCTGCATGGAGTGAAGAGGTGCTATCAGACCGTAACGTTGCATTTAATGTCGTTGTATAAAGATAGATACACAACTGCAGACTCAATTTGAACTCACTAAGCAAGAACTGAGTTTCTCCCAAAAGAGCTTCCTCCTAAGCGCGACTCACTTTCATGCGCGCCTCGGAGCTGTCGACATGAGGGGGGAAGAAAAGCTGACGTGCTCGTTGCTGCATTCTCTAAGCACTCCGAGCATCCACAGCTACTTGCACGTACGAACACTGA